GATCGACTGGGGTTGCCGTTTCAGGGGTTGGAAAATAACTAAGTCAGTCACTCAACCTGCAATCGTTGGTTGATACGCCCGCCATCCATGGTTCTGAATCGATGAAGAATCTCGAGCCTCATGCAGTGGCCAATTCCTCTTGCATTAGCAGTTTAAGCTACCTTACCGATTAACTTACCGACTCACCGTCTCCGAACGTGGATCTGCCCCGACATGCTTCTACCTACAGTGCACAGGATGGATACAGTTTTAGTGATGCACGAGTTGGATGAAGCACGTCGATTGCCCGGTATATATAACTGACACATTAATTTGTCCTCAGACCCCGATCCCAACTGCAACACAGTCTCCGTCAGAAGGTCAGTAGACGGTAGTACAGCAGCAAATAATCGACATCAGCTGTGATCCATTGGGGGATCAATAGAATTGGACAACAATTCTAGGTTCAATGCCCGATTGATGGTTGTTCAATAATCCTCATAATCCTCATAATCCTCATAATATCATAATAATCCCCCAGCCTAAGACGGGTTCTGTGACTGGTCCAGGCGGGAAAACCCAATACTAACCTGGACCTAAACCCGAATGGGAGAGGCAGTGAAATGATAAGGTACTAAGGTCCGGTGCGAAGGCGACGGGAGAGTCGCCGGTGTATCCATGATCCATCCCTCCAGCCGTTAGTTAGCCAGTTGTCCGTACCCTAAAAGCTTTTTTGAGGCTGACCCGAACAAGCAGGCAGGCGGTCAGGCTCGGGCCCCTTCTGGACCCCTCGGGGTTCACCAACCAGCCCAGCTTGTTCAACTCCATTCGCCCCGAAGTGAAACCATTCTTCCCCCAACCTTGAAGTGGGATGATGCTTAAGGTAGTAGCGTCGAGACTTTGGTGGTTGTGAGTGAGAATGTCAGTGGTGGCCTGTGAAACCCATTACATCCTTAGCCCCTTTCAGTGAGGGTCTACCACCGAGCAAGCTGGTGACATGACTCAAGGCAATGAGTGTATTGTAGTAGCAATGACAGTGACAGTCACAGTCAAAGGAAGGAATGGAGGCGGGGATCATGATGAGCTCGGACAGCATCTTATATGAACCTCAGCTGACTGATCGTCGTGTTAGTGAGAGTAAGTTAGTTAGTTAAGGGTCTAGTTGTCTAGTTCTAGTCTACTCGGTAGTCATCTGTCAATCTGGATTCCGGAAGGATGGCCCTGCCTTGGGGGTCCTATAAATAACTACTCGTAGTAGCTGGGAGAGCGGGCGGCAGTCGAGAGCCGCCGTTGGCGAGCGGGTAAACGCCTGGGACTATCTTTAGAATAATCTTCTGCATCACCCGCGTGTTCCTTCCATTCACCTTCCACCCTATCCATTCATCCCATCATCATCAACTTTCAGCTTCATCAGCTTCATCAGCTTCACCATCATCGTTACCATTGTCCTAATTGTTACCCACTTATTCTCTCAACTCCAATTGCTGTTGACTTACCTGGAGCCGCACTCTTTGTTTCCCGAAGGTTGGTTATACCTGAGGCCATCCTTGCATCAGCTGCCTGACTGCCTGGCTTGTCTGGCTGCTGCTGCTGCTGCTTGTCTGGCCTGTTTCTCTTTTACTCTTTCTCTCGTTTTGAGCCACACAAAGCCACTCCCTCCCATTCCCTCCCACTCCCACTTTCCTTTGCGCGCCGCCCCCCCTTTGTCTTTACCGTCACACTGGCTTGTCTCATTCACATCGATATCCACATTAACCCCATCCACTGTTTCCCCCAATTCTCAAACTTAACTCTCTTCTTACTGCATCTTCCCCCCCCCTCCTCCCCTCCCCCCCAGTCCCCTCCCTCCCAAAAATAGCGCGCTCATTCCCAATCTCACCACACTTACTTACCCTTACCTTTTCTACCTTCCCTGATCTTCGTCATTCGTTCTTCTTCCTCTTTGTAGAAGTGGTTTCGAGGCTTCCCTATTTCCTACCTCTCGGGATATCGGTAAAAATTAATAATAATTTTCAACCTGACCGCGACCTGGCTCTCTGGTCGTCGCTCTCTTTCCTATCTTTCTCTCTTTCCTATTATTTTTTTTCTTATCTCTTCGCGTTCTGGAAATACCTTCATCGGGCGGCGCTTCCCTGAGTTTCAGTTCGCGCCGCTATTCGATTCGGACGAACTATTACTCCACTTGGCATATTTGTGATTGACCATTGTCGCCAGTGCCGCATAAACGCGCCTACATCCCTCATGGGTCGGAGAAAGATCGAGATTAAGGCGATCAAGGATGACCGCAATCGCTCAGTGTAGGTCTTTCCTGTGCAGCTTCTCGATGAGTTTGGGGTGATGGTATCACCACTATTTGCTAAACTAACTGACTGACATTTCTGTCGGTTCCCAGGACCTTTCTTAAGCGAAAGGGCGGTCTCTTCAAGAAGGCACATGAGCTTGCGGTTCTTTGTTCGGTCGATGTCGCTGTCATCATTTTTGGTCACAACAAGAAGCTATATGAATTTTCGTCCTGTGACATGCGAGAGACGCTCGCTCGATATCAATATGTGCGGTGGGCCCTCAGATTCTGACAACTCGTTCCTGCAGCTAACGCGACCCATTTCTTGCAGTTTGGACCTCCCCATGAACACAAAGGCCCGGAAGACTTTAACGGTAAACGCGACGATGACGACGACGAAGATGAGACGACACCCGCCCCCGAAGACATTCATCCGACGCCTCCGAATCCTCCCATGATCCCCGCCCATATTCCTGGTCATCCTGGCTTCCAACATGTCAATCACGCACCGTCAGCTTCTCCACCCATCCCCAACGGGATGCCCTTTGATCCTCGTCATGGTACCCCTCAACCACAAGGTATCTCGAGACCGTCGTCAAGGAATCATCTGCGTCGCGTCAGCTCTAACATCGGACCTCAACAACATCATGCCACACCTCCGCCGCCTCCGCCGCCACCACAGAACGGTTTCACGTACATGCCTAATCCATCCGTCTATAATCCAGCAGTTGCCCATCCCATGGCTCAACCTCCTCGTCCCGGTCAGTTTGCGCATTATGGCCCACCGGGGCCGCACCATCAGCCCGGGCCACCCCAGCATCAGCATCAGCATCCGCCCATGCCACCGCAAGCAATGCCACCGCATTCGATGGCGCCTCAATCGATGCCGCAGCACCTCGCACCGCATCCACATCCACATGCCATGACACCGCAACCACCACCCATGGCTATATCGCAGGCGCCGCATCACCCACCCGTACCACAGGTCGCCCAAGCATTTCTCACAGAACAAGGTCGAGCTTCCATGCCCCCAACATTTGCACAGCATGAGCCGCAACCGCAACCGCAACCGCCGCGGACGGTATCACTTCCCGAAGCGACCGCTGCGGAGCAGATGCCGGGCCCTCTGAAGGCAGAGGGAAGTCCTTCGCCTCCTCATCAAAGATCTCTATCGTCTAAGTCGCGCAGTATCTTCACCCCTATCGACGACCGCGGCTCAGTCCTAGCGCGTCACTTTGGTGTAGGCCCGCCCACATGTGAGCCGGGAGAAAATGCCCACCTCAAGGCGGAAGTTCCGCCGCTGGGAAATTCCACTGATGTAAAGCCACCCAAGCCACTTGCAGGGAAGGCCGGGAAAGCAGGGAAGGCCGGGAAGGTGCCACCACCGCCTCGAGCGGCAACGGAAACCCCACGCCCCCAGCCTGTAGCGGAACTAAAGCCACCGGCACGAACCAACAACGGCCAAATACCCCCAAAGCGCCCGCAACTGAAGGTGCAGATCCCAAGCGAGAATTCAGATAGAGGCAGTGCGACAGGCGAATCGTCCTCACGCGACTCGGCGGGTAATAAGACATTGACGCCGGCAAAAGCCAATCCAGATACTAGTCATTCGGGCGTGGTTCTTCCTCCGCCGTCACCATCCGCTGGCGCGATCCTTAGCGCGGGGGCCCAGGGACCACCGAACCCGTTTGCCAGACCACCACCGCCTCCCGGCCCGGTCGCGCAGAACAATGCCGCCTACAACAATAACAGCAATATTGACACGCCAATCTCGGCTCTGCCCAGTCGATTTGTTTCAGACGCACTGCTACCATCACCTTCCAGCTTTTTCCCCGAATGGGGATTCGGTCGCTCGGGTCCGGACAGCAATATGCTCCCAAGCCCTTTGACGTTCCCGACCCCGGCCGTGCAGACCGGACCTGGCTTCGGACGTGAAGACAACGATCAAGATAAGAAGCGCAAAAGCCCCGACAGCGGGCCGAGCGCTGAAGGGGTGATGAAAAAGCCGAAGACGTAAATTTTGGAACTTGCGAGTTGTTGCGCATCACCAAGTTGACGGTCTCCCCCTATCTCATTGGCTCTATTGTCTCTTCTTATCCCATGTTTTGAATAATGGCATTTACATGGCGTTAGTGAATTTACTTGTCAGGGGAGGAAGTTTTGGGCAATCCGTTTGTCGAAGTTAGTGTGTGTGTGTGGATGTGTGTGTCTGTGTCACTCTCCTTTGTTTTAGGGTTGTCTTTTGCGGAACAACTTTATACCCCTTTTCCTTTAGTATCTGTCATCGTTCTCACTTTCCCTTTTTGTTTTGTCTAGCTGGGCTATATACTGTGTGGGTATTGCTTCGCTTTGCTACTGAGACCCTCAGATCTCCAACACACCTACTCCGCGGCGTACTTTCCTCACCCTGTGATTCTCCAGTTCGTTCGTCTCTGGAAACCGAGGGCGGAAAGCTTAAAAAGCGCCCCCCCGGCGCGCATTGCCTCTTCCTTCCTTTCTGTGCCCTCTTAACTCTAATTCTTCTTTGTGTTGTTACCTTGGATTGCACCCGAGGGCGATAGTGCTGGTGATGGTGATCGGTGATCGGTGATCTCTTTCTTTTCTTTATGTCCAGTACTTTTTTTTTCCATTTTCAATTTTTCCCTTATTTACTTTTTTTTTATTTTGTGTCAAAGAATGTATATAAAAGGTGGGGGTCTAGCTGGATATGGATATGTTTGATTAGGAAAGTGAAATAATTTGATCTCGCTTGATGCATAATCCACACCCATTTCCATTTTCAATCATGACTGGTCATATCAGATTCATTGGTGCTGGATATCACAAGTATATGTGGTTTGTAGATGGTGAGTAGCACTCGCACATGGAGTAAAGTAAGTGCTGCCTGCGTATGCTGCCGCTTTTTTCTTGAAAGGCTCGCAACGCAATGCAATACAATGCAAACAACGCAATGAGGAAGGAAAAGAATCCCACCTCCCCTTCCCCCGGGCATTTGAAGTATATATGCCAATTTTGCCCTGAAATTCGGTCTTGGGGAAGAAGGGGAGAGAGGGGGTCAATGGGAATATGTAGACATTATGAAATAGAAAGAATATATGCTCTAACTCTTCTTTGGAGTTGAAATTATTACCTACCCTTGACCCTTTGCTCCATTCCGCTGGGATTTGAGAGCCAATAAAGGACAAGGGACGGAGTGAGGTGGGGTGGGGTCCACACTATACCTCCTCCTTCGGCTGGGATTCGCCGTGTTGTTGCTTCTGCTGGGCCTCCAGGACGGCCTTGCGGGCTTTCTCCTGCTCCTCCAGGCCGGTCTTCGCGATGGTGTGGGCCCTGCTCAAGGTGACGGGGCGGACGAGCAGGCTCAGGGCCAGGCCGAGGGCGGCGATGGCACAGTAGAAGATCCACATGCGGCTGAAGGCGGTGGTGTAGGCGTCGAGGACGACCTGGCGCTGGGCCTTGGGCAGGGAGCGCAGGAGATCGCCCTGGGATCCACTGAAGGAGGAGGCGATGGCGTGGGCGTTGTCGGCTCCGACGGCGGCAGCGATCTGGGGCATGCGGCTGGCGAAGACATTCTGGTAGATGACGGTGCCGAGGACGATGGAGATGGCGGCGGAGACCTGGCGCATGAAGCCGAAGGTGGCCGTGCCGGCGGCCATGTCACTGGGGTGGATGTTGGCCTGCAGGGCGACGAGCGGGGACTGGAAGAGCGGGCCCGTGCCGATACCGCCGATGATCTGATAGATGATGATGCGCGGCCAGCTAGCGTAGGCCTTGAGGTCGATGAAGAGGCCGTAGCCGATCGTCATGAGGAGGAGACCGCCGGTGATGAGCTCGCGGTAGCGGCCGGTCTTCTTGATGACGACGCCCGTGGCCGCGGAGAAGATGGAGAGGCTGAGCACGGTGGGGAGGACGTAGACACCGCTGAGAATCGGGGACGCCAGAAGCACCGTCTGGAAGTAGAGCGGGAGGTAGTAGGACCCGGAGATGAAGACGAAGCTGTGGCAGAAATTGATCAGGAGCATGAGCACGTTGTGGAAGTTGTTGAACAGCCGGAGAGGGATCACTGGATAGCGCGCGATCTTCCACTCATTGATGAAGGCGACGACCCACGTCACGATTCCGAAGATGATTAAGCAGATCACCGTGGCCGACGCCCAGGGGTAGCTGACGCCGCCATATTCGAGGCCGAAGAGGAACATGAGCGTGCCGCCGATCATGAGGAAGGTGCCCGACCAGTCGATAGAGCGGAGTCCTGCAAGAAGGGGCACTTTGCTGGCTTCGATCTTGAGGAAGAATATGAGGATGACGAGCGAGAAGCCTCCGATAGGTACTGGAAATCAGGTGTTAGCGTGGATATGGATTGATTTGCATAAGCAATGAAGGACCTACAGTTGATGTAGAAGCACCACCGCCAGGTTACACTGGTGGTGAAAGCACCTCCGATAATAGGACCCAGGGCCCCTGCAATGGCCCAGGTCGACCCAAAAATGCCGTAGTACATCGGACGTTCCCTGCAAACAGTCAGTCTACTAAGCCGGCCAAGCCCTCCGGAGGGTTGCTGCTGGAATGTCCAAGGCGAGGTTATACTAACCGAACACTGAACAGATCCGTCACGCAAATGTTAGCTAGAACGATGATTCCACCCCCGCCAACGCCCTGAATCGCTCTGCCGGCGATGATCATGGGCAGGTTCACTGCCAACGCGCAGATGAGACTGCCCACCAAGAACAAGAAATTGGCAATCAGGATGATCTTTTTCCGGCCCCAGACATCACTGATCTTACCCCAGAGGGGAACACAGGCGGCGTTCGCCAGCATGTAGGAGGACGCAATCCATGAGTACCCGCCCTCCGATGCATGGAAGTGGTTGGCAATAGTGGGGAGTGCTGTCGAGACAATTGTCTATGAAGCGAGGCACCAGAAAGTCAGTAGACTGGCGATCAAGACCCAGGGATCCAGAAGACCTTACCATGTCCAGAGCTGCCAAGAACAGAGCCAACTATATGTGACATTAGCGTGCTGTCACAATGTCCGAGCCGGAGTGCATAGTAAAGTGGAGAGAGAGATGGATTAACCTACACAGAGAGCGGTCATAACGACCAAGATCTTCTTCTTCCCCAGTTTCTGTGCCTGAGAGGGCACGCGATCCAGCGGGGCGCTAGCAGCAGCCACAGCAGCCTCATCTTCTAGCGTTTCATCATGATGGCCTTTCTCTGTTCCGACGGGGATTTGTTCATGCGAGGCTGTTCGTGAGGGGGGCCTGACAGCGTCAGGCTTCTCCGACCCAGCTCTGTAGGAAGAGGAGCTTGCCTCGGATGGTGACATGCTCTCCGCAATCATCGGACCCTTGTCCACTGAGGTCTCCTCAACGTGAGGGTGTTGATGACCCGTCATGACTTAGTGTATAATATCCAAATTCGACGAAAGTAGACGGGAGAGAACCTGAAGAACGAGAGAGAGAGAGAGAAAAAGGAAAAGAGGGGGAAAAGAACCGAGGTTTTTTTTTTGGCCGCTCTCTTTTTTTTCTCTTGAGTTGGACTGGAAGGACAGAGCAGAGACCGCAGAGCAAACCGGGTTGTTTCCCTTTAGTGTTGACGGTGGCGGGCGAACCCCGACGGTTGCAGCAAAACTTTGGGGTTTGGTTTAGCGGGTGCCCCCAGGCCTGTTTTTCTTTTCTTTCTAGAACTGTGGCGCGTATCGAAGTTAGCTAAGTATGAGATAATGAGAGACAGTCTCAAGTCAATTTTTGATTGCTCAGCATTTTAGCTCTAAAAGCAAAAGCAACGAACTAAGCTACCACCTTTTGTTTTTCTTTTCTTTTTTGCTGATCCTATTTACGTACTCCGTATTATGTTTGAGACCGAGACCGAGACCGAGACTTTTCGCACTTTAGGCGTCGGAGATAAGGTCGGCTTTGTGGTCCTCAACCCCCGAAAAGGGTAACTTAAGAGATGAGAACAGAAGGGGGGGAAAAAAAAAAGGGCCTCGACTTTGGAGCGGTCCCTGAATTGAATTTTGGTTCCAGTTGGAGTCATCATCACCATCATCCTCTTCTTCGGGTTGGAACGTGGATCGTCTTTTTATACAATAACTTCTTACCATTGGGTCCGCAAGCGACTAGTATAGAAGAGAGGGGGGGGAAAAGTCAGCTGCAGGGCGGAGAATTCCAGTCAACCCCACGAGGCTTGGTTGATTTCCATCTTCATCTTCTCGGACTGTCGGACTTTTTGCCCGCCGACGCCGAGCTTTCTGATGAGTCGATGAGATGAGTCGATGACTTGATGATTTGATACAAACCACCTGCAAACTGTATGCCTGCCTGCCCAACAAAACCGACTGGCTCTCACCGCATAGACTATCCGTGACGGTACAGGTAATAGCCATAGATAGCCTGGAGCCCGGAGCTGACTGCCTTGTGCAAGGCCGAGATCCAGACTCCAGACTCCATCACCGCCCGATGTTCTAGGCAGGTGAACTGTATACTAGTCACTCCCGTCTGGACAAGAAGTACTGTACAGTACCTGGCACTTCTCTCATAAAATCAAATATTACCTAGGAATGTTCTTCACAAAGAAAAAATAATCTCTTCTTAGCCCACACCCCCCCTATCACCATGTCCATGTATGCCACTGGAAGAGAAATAAATAGGGTATATAATGTACAATGACAGACACATCATGAAAAGAGTGCGATAATCGATCATCTCCACCTTTACTATGAAAACACCCCCAACTCCACGCCTTCCATCTAATCCTGTAACTGAAGAATCTCTGCAACACGGTAACATATCACACACACGCGTCAGCAATCTGTCGGTTGCAATACCGCTTTTTTTTTTTTTTTTTTCTGTCTTCGTGGGGGGCTGCGTGCGCACTCACCTGTCAAAAACTCCTCGAAGCTCACCGTAATATACCCATCCCGATCGTCGTCATACCGTTTGAACACGTCGGTCATGCGACGCAGACTAATGCAGGCCTGCACAAACAGGTCAAAACTCATGCCATGTTTGCCATAGGTGTGCCCGTTCATCTGCCGCCCCTTGCTCTCGAAGGTGATGAACATGACCTGCACGAATCCCGGGCTGAGGCGGTACCCGAAAGCGACCAGCGCGTTCTCGAACTCGGGCAGGCTGATCCGTCCGCTCCGGTCCACGTCGAACCGATCGAAGAGCTCCCGCCACGCCGCCAGATAGCGCCAGAGGGAGACGAACTCGTCGAACGAGATCGTCCCGCTGCTGTTGCGGTCGAACATGCGGATCATCATCTTGACCGTCTTGGGGTGGAACGAGGTGTAATCGCCGTTCACCAGTGCAGAGCCCAGCTCCAGCTCCGTCAGCGCCCCGGAGTGCGAGGTGTTGGCGGCGCGGAACAGGGGGTACAGCTGCTGTGGGTCATCGTCGGGGACCGAGAGTGGAGGAGGGTGTGGGGATTGCGGTGGACGCGACGACGGAGGAGGACGGTTGCGCACGGGCTGGGAGGGAGGTGGCCCAAAGCCGTAGTTCTGGGGAGGGGGCGAGGGGTGTAATGGGTGCGGACGCTGTTGAACAGGAACAGTCGGCGATCGTCCGCCGTGGTGAGTCTGTTGGGCAGGCGCTGGGTAGCGCTGCGGGTTGGCGCTCGGCGCTCCGGACACTGGCACGCGCGGAGGCACTCCGCTGGGGGAATGGTGAGAAGACTGTCGTGGGGGTCGTGGGTGAGCTGAGCTGCTCGTCTGCATAGCACCGAGCATCTGCGCAACCTGTTGTCGTTCGCCTCAAGTCAGTAGCTGCGGGGTAGAGAACTAGATCAACCTGCATCGTCCGGGTTCCTGCGTACCTGCTCGGGCTCTGCGTGACTGTGCTCATCATCCTCACATATTAGCGACAGTTGCTCAATGTTTCTGGCGGGCTTATCTTGGTTCTCAACTCACGCTGGCAGCGCATCTGGATTGTAGGACTGATTGTACGCCATGGCGGCAAAGGCTGACTGACGTAAGGGCGGCGGGCGCAATCCGAGCGACAGGCGTCAAAACGGGCAGCGTAGGTTTGAATTGACCCAATCCTCCAAGCACGACCAGAAGGTGAGGTAAGGTATCTAGTTGTAAAGAATTTTGGAGTGGAAGGCAAGGACCGAAAGGAGTTCGGGGAGAGAAAGGAATTATTAGGCTTTGGCCATGCAGTTAGTTGTTAAGTTAGCGACCAGATTCGTTTTGGCGGACCTGCAGAGCGGAGCCGTGGGGCGGCGGTTTAGCAGGAATCGCCAACCGAATTCAACCATAAAAGGGGGCAGAAGAACGCGGTACACATACTCATAGGTACTCAGTAGTAAAAAGTCCGTTTCATGGGCGCAGATGATCCGTCAACCACTCCAAAGAGAACAAAAGGATTCAAACCAGTTGCCTTCTGCACAAGCAAGGTTCATTGGCTTGACCTTTGTCATTGAAGGGGGGTGAAGGTTAAAACTGCGAGCGGAACGAAGGCAGATCAGGCCGACTGAAAGAAACTCAGCCCTATATCCGACACAGCTTATTTTTGAAGCGGTTGGCCCACGGGTTCCATTCCAATTTGTGGTGGATCCCACGCAAAGGAAAAAGGCATCTGTGCTACTTCTGAATTCTATACAAACTAGGATTGAGTCGCTGAGAGGCTGTGTTCAGAGCCAGTGGTTCAGAACATAAAAGACTTCGTGTCAAAGAATGCTCAGCCTTGCGATGTCATTCGCAGAGGCCACAAGACCGGGGTAGCCTAGGCGCCGTCACGAACCTCCGACCAACTGCTCCAGCCCCTCCTTCTGTTCATTCAAAATAGACGCGATCTCGTTCCAAGCGATGTTCTGAAACTGCTGTCCTTCCGCTCCCGTTGTCAACGCGATCGATTCGCTGTTCTTTGTTAACCAGCACCCTGTAACCGTGGGACAGGTCCGAGGTAGACTCACTCTAGATAACCATCGTTTCTCCAACACTTCCCATGAGACTCCACCCCCTGGTAAGTGGCACTCACCAGCGATCGGCTGCCTTGCTCAGCTGTGCGCGCAAAGAGTTTATACGCCAGCCAAGACAGCCATCGCTCGTAAAATCTACGATACTGCCGCCCGAGTGACGAGGCACAAAACCCGGGACTTACGGAGTTGATGATCACGGGGACCGTCCCGTCTTCCTGGCGAACCATACCGGCAGCCATCTTGAGCATATACTCGAGCAAAAGCTTGGAGATCCCGTACTGCTGGCGGCCTATGAATTTGCGGGGATCGTTCAGATGCTTGAGTAACGGCTCTTCCGTTCGGAGGCTCTGCGCCTTGACCCGAACGAACTGTTGGCTGGAGACCACTGTAAGATGTGTTGGCTGCGTCGGTGTCGAACTGCGTCTCAGCTTGGGGAGGAGGAGGAATGCCAGTAGGGATGTCGAGAGAGTGTTGACCTGCAGCGTCTCCTCCCATCCTTCCGGCGATACGGTGTAGTCTCGATTCCATAGACCCGCGTTGAGGATTACAATATCCAACTGGTCCACTTCGTTGTTCACACGCTCGGCGAAGCTCTTGACGCTCTGGAAGCTGTTCATCTCCAGCTGCCACACTTGCACCACACCCGGTCTATCGGTGCGTCGTTCAAGCTCCGCCTTGGTCGCTTGGCCTTTTTGCAGGTTACGACTGCCTATGATGAGTGAGTCCACGCCCAGGCTGAGGAGCTTGACAGCCGCCTCGAATCCCAGTCCGGATGTTGCTCCAGTCAGAAGCACCGTCTTCCCTGCGAACGACACCTCGCTGGGATCGACCGGGATATTGCGTCGCGACCGACGTAGCCGAAATAGCCCTGCCATGACGAATGTGAAAAGACACAGCAGTATGGCCTTCGAGGTCGACATTATACGGCCGAGGAGGACGTTGCCAAGGTCTCGAACAAGGCTGGTGTAGCAGATCCAACCGATTCAAATTGAGCAGATTCGCGTAGTGATTTCCAGGACGTGGCCGTCTCAAAGCTAATGATTAGCCGCGACGACTGGACGTTGGTGATAGCTGCCAGCTGATTTAGCGTATTGCTAAAGCCGGGTCCGGTGTCTGGGCCGGCCCCGCTGAATCTCCCCGAGACGAACAAGATGATGGAGACTGCTGGAGCAGGAAACGAATACGAGAGCGAGGGTGCGCAAGCTCTGCAGCAAAGTCCGAGCAAGGATGGGATGGACCAAGCGGGGCTTCTGCAACTGCGATCCGCCCCCCTGACAAATTGGGGTGGTCGATTTGCCTTTGTGAGGCTCTGCCTGTAATCCATGCAAATGGGACAGAGGAGGTGCAAATTGCTCACGTAAGGCTGGGGTGATCGATCAGAGCTAACAAGAAGTACCTGAGTAAATCTACAAAATACAATTTCCGTCGCACCGCCTCAAGTGACTTCCCGAGACAATGCTGCAAGATGGCGAGATCCAGACTGGAATTGAAGTCATCGATCGGGGATGACAAACAATGCAAACATGCGGAGTAAAGACATGTGTGGGCACGCTCAGCGGCGGGTGATTTCTCATCAATCGATTATTGAGAGATTTAGTTAATCGGCGGTGATACAACCATTGTGGTAGCTGCCTGTCTGCTTGCCTCATAGATTCTGGAAAGAACCGAGTAAGTCAACTTGGAGACTTGCACTCTGGCTGCTTCACTTCACCAACCTAGTTCTTATCGATTCTAATTACAGCTTTTTGCCTAATCTCCATTATCCATACGACAAACATTATTATAGACGAGGTTGTACTCAGTAGGTCAACCCGTATCTCCGCCCAGAAAACCACCCGAGCCACATCTCTAAATTCAGGATCCAGGTTGAGGCGTTGGAGATGGGCTCGGCTGAGCAAGGGAGTGAGACTCCCAGAGACGGCCGGACATGGCGTAACTACTTCCCTAAAGGCGACCTTTGGGTGTTCGGATACGGGTAAGCCTAGCCGGTCAGCGGCCGCAGGATGATCCCTGGAAACAACAACCAATGGCTACAACCAGTGGCTGATGCAGGGCAGGAGTTTGATCTGGAAGCCACCGCCGCATTACGGTAAGTAGAGCATATGTCCATGATACTAGGAGTGTCTCATTTCCATTCATAGTGCAGATAGGCTAATCTCTGCTAGACCAACGGGTTCCCGGCTACATCAATGGCTATGTGCGGCGCTTCTGGCAGGTTCGTCGATGCATATCTCTTGCCTTGCGGTTGTGATGATTGTGTTTCTCAATGTGCAGATAAACTTACTGGCGATGTCAATTAGGCAAGGTGGGCCAAGCTATTCTTGAGAGATGACATGTCAGGGCTGACAGGCCGCGTCTAGTACCGACCATCGTGGCACTCCAGAGAACCCTGGACGAGTTGTGACAGTGATCGAACGGGAGTTCTGGGAAACGCTGGATGATCCGGTATGTCTTCTCGGTATCTTCAGCGGCCGCAATCGGCCAGCTATAACCATGAAATTCTGTTTGCTGCCAATCTGCCTATTTGAGATGGTTCACTCACAGTTTGAAACAGCTGGCGCACCTTGAAAGCTCAGCGACGGCCACGGTTTGGGGTGCTGCATATCATATCCCTGCTTCCCATGCTGAGGAGGTACACGATTATCTCGATGTCAGAGAAATCGATGGTTACACCGTCCATTACACCCCTTTCCATCCCACCGATACCCGTAAGGAGCCAAACGCAGAAGAACCAACATCATCTCCAATCGTGTGTATGGTCTACATCGGTCAACCGACCAATCCGCAGTTTTTGCGGGATCCAGCCCGGCGAGAGCAACAAGATGTGGCCGAGGTGATAAGTCGCAGTCAGGGACAGAGTGGTAAAAACACTGAATACCTGTATCTCTTGGAGAAGTCGCTTGACGGACTCGGACTGGGGAGTGCCGATGTGCACGTTACTGATCTGGTGCGACGGGTCAAAGCCCTCGAGGGCGTGGAAGAAGCGGCGGCAGAGGAGGCCAAGGCGGAACGGGATATAGAGGAGGCTCTCCATCCATCCAAAGCAGAGGCTCAGCAATGATTTCCACCTGCTGAATAGGCCCATTCGACCCGTGTTGTGTCAATGAGCTGTATCATTGCTGTTGCTGCTGCTGTATCCTTGGAGTGTTTCTGGCTTATGGCAGAGAGACCGAATTAGAACATTCTAGGTAGATAAGATCATCTTAACTTCTTTAAAGGTGTTATGGGGGATTATGGGGCAAAGAAAGCGTTGCAGTAAGAGAATGTCGAGGGTGGGTGAGGCGTGCCTCCCACGCTAGCTGCAAACCCGCTGGTCTTACGTTACGCAAGCAGGCGATAAGGACAAAAGGAGGGTCTTTCCCGTATGATCAAGCGAGACCAGAGGATGTGGTGCAGTGATTATCCAGGCCCGATTCATTGTCGAGCCGGGCTATCTGGTGTGAGGATGTGATGTATGCAAGTAGACTAGCTTTCCCAGCCAAGGAATCCTGCAAGATCGACCAGCAGTCAGTATACCGTTAGAAACTTGCAGACAGAGACAGGCCGATCATTCTGCATTCAGCTGAGGCTAAGGAGACGCGGTCTCTCCCTGCGCTCAATTTGTTCGATCGTGCATTGCGATTGATTGCTCGTGCTTCCGACAATCCCCAGTTCCAGGATGATGATGAAGAATCACTGCTGTCACCTGCACCTGGAACTAATGAAGAAATCCTTCCTTGTTGAGCAAAAGTGTCACAAACAAACCAAACCCTGAGAAGTCGCAATCTGCATGCTCGCTCCAAAGGTCCTTATCCAGACGATTTGCAGATCCGCACTGAATGCGCCATGTGTACATACAGTACGAGTATTGAGTGGTAATTTTGGCCCCTCCTTCCAGGTACCAATGAGGGGTGGAATATGGAGGAGGTCACTGCCGGTGATGAGCCGGTGATGAATCTCTTAGCGTCTCCGAGTTCACAGGTTGCGCATTTGCCTCCCCCTCATTCATAACTTACCTTACCTACCTTCAGTCTTTCGCTTGTTATGAGTAACTTACTGAGTACCTTTGAATGAGGTGCTGTACAGTACGGATTACTGCTCAGCTCTTTCAGCTCCTTCAGCTCCACTATCTATTGCCTCTTCTAGCTCTCTCCCAACTCTCACCAATTCAGCCTGTACTGTATATACAGTTAACTTACTGGACATCAGTCATCACCAGTTAGTCACAATTACCCCTCCCCCTCCTCCCCCTCCCCCGGCCACTTCTGGACCACTTGCATATCCCTAGCTCTCTCAGAACAAAAAGAAAAGAAAGGTGAAAACAAAACACAAAAAGAAAAGAAATGGGTAAAAAAGAAAAGAAACCTACTGAAAAGACAAACACTGCTCTTTTGCATTTGGACCAATTCTGCCGCGGTGTCAGACTACACCACCACCTTAACTTACTACCTACTGTATTATTACTACTCCTTTCACTCAGCCCTTCCTCTCCCCTCAGGCTCCCTCTCTCCCTTCCCCCCCCCCCGCTTTAACCCAGCCGCGTTGTCCGTCCTGTCCTGTCCTCTCCCTCTCCCTCTCCCTCTCCCCTCGGCCAACTCGCGCTTGCTGCATCTGCCCACTTTGCTGACCGCAGTCTTTTTTCGCCAGGAACAAAATCCTCCTTCTTCCACTCCCCTCCTTAATTTTTTTCCTTCAACTCTCTTCGTTGAATCTCTCCCCATCTAGGCTCAACAGACGAGTAGTCTTGCCAAGGTATGTGTCTTCTCGTTTTTGTTCAGAGCATCCCTCGGAGCGATTATCGGCAGTCATCCTCATATCTGGCCAAACCGGGTCGGAGGGGATCTTCTGCAGAGTTCCCTCGCACCAAAGGCACACTGTCGCAAGCACGCTCGCTTTCCACTGTTTTTTATTCGTTCACATCCGACTCTGATTTTACATCCTCGTGCAAAGTTTCTGTGGTGTGAAAGCAGCGTTAAACACCATCCCAAGCATCTCGACTCTGCGCTCTACCTCGGTGCTCCTGATTCCTCGGTACTAACCCAATATTCGCGCAGAACCCTACTTCTCCCTCCTCAAAATGTCTAAGCTCTTTGTTGGGTAAGTTTGCACCATTTCATGTATCTGGCTTCCACAATCAGATAGGACTAACTCAGCATAGTGGCCTGGCCTGGCACACCACTGATGAAACCCTCCGCCAAGGATTCCAGGACTTCGGAGTCGTCGAGGAAGCCGTGGGTGTCCCCCTTTCTGCGCTATTGTGAGCCGCAGCATCTAATCAAATTTTTCTCAGGTCGTTGTCAAGGACCATGATACCAACCGCAGCCGTGGTTTCGGATTCGTCCGGTTCGCAACCGATGAGGATGCCGACAAGGCTATGGAGGCCATGAACAACCAGGAGTCAGTAACCTCTCCTCTTTCCCCTCGCCCTTTCTTGACCTAGTACTCATCCTCAACAGATTCGATGGTCGGGTTATCCGAGTCGACAAGGCTTCGGAGCGGCCTCGCGGCGGCGCTGGAGGTGGCGGTTTCCACGGCCGAGGTGGCTACAACCAGCGTGAAGGAGGCAATGGAGGTTACCGTGGTGGTTACGGTTCGTCATCCATCCTCCGCTCGACGTGGTCTCGAAGTATCAGCTAACCCAGATTACAGGTGGCGGCGGTGGCTACGGCGGCGGTGGTAGTAAGTCTAAGCTTCTCCTGACATTCGCCTCACAGTCTCACTGATGAAAAGATTACTAGACTGGCGTAGCCCCCAGCAGCAATCCTACGACTCGAACCAGAATGCTTGATTGCCTGCGCCGTGCATGTCGACCCCCAGATGTCTTGCCCCCTCTCTCCTTCCCTTTGACCCTATTTATTCCATGCAAACCCTGCTCTTAGTCCCCAGGGGTTTTCAGGCAGGGATGTGAATACGAAGGAACGAAGTCCCGAATCTGTTATGACGGTTACCCAAGAATGACTGGAACGATCACTGCCCCTGTTATGCTCCCTTTCTCTTCTTTTGAGGCTTCATCTCTGCTGTTCTGCCCTGGCTGTCTCTCAATCCGGACTCTCCCCTTTTTGCGGTTGCTCTCTTACATCGATGTAATTTGGCCATTATGGGAACTTGATCTTCTGAGCCGATCGTGAGAAATTGCAGAATTGTTGTGCTTCATAAAACTTAAAAAAAACGCAGGTTTATCTCGGTGGAACACCCCTCAGCTGAGGCAGTCCACCCTCCGAAGCTACTAGAGTTTTAAAGTCTTGAAGGGAAGGTATAGTAACCACGGCAGCGAACCGAACGCAGACAGAACAAGAATTTGACGTGAAACAAGCTGCTAACTATCCCCGGGAGCTATTATGCAGGGCTCGATGCGTATCGACTCACGGGCATCGCGCAAGTCAGCCGCGGTTAGCATCACACACAGGCCAGTCGACTTGACGACGCTGTCCAGATGGGAACGAGGGGAAATGCAGAGCAGATCTGAAACTATGGAAGATTCTTTTTCAAGGACTCTTGATGACAGCGCCCCAGCAAGAGATCTGCCTACTGTGGAGTAGTGTAGGCCTCTCGGCAGGACGAGCAGTACTGAGGAGCGTGGTTGGGGGAGCAGAGTACGGTTTGGTGGGTAGGTCTGTTGATCGGCATGGTCTTATGTTTTTGGGGTTTGTGTGAAGTCAATGCATACTCGACATTTTCAGGAGTGCACGCTTGGACAGTCTCTTGGAATTATCATATTCATTGGCAAACTATAACGTGTGGGCATGCCTCGGCTGCGAAATGCTTACCATGTCCATGCGACTTGTCCATTATGTCACAACGATGTTGCCATGTGTCGACATGTTAAGAACAGATTACACAATCATACACAGTACATATCAGGGAAATTTTGAGAAATAAAAAATCAGAGTAGAAATCATCACCAATAGTGAGGCACACTCCAGTGCATTCCAGCAGAGACAGACTAAAGACGATTGAATCTGCAGCGCGCGCAAGCGAGCAAGCGGCATTGTCGGCATTCGTAAATAAAGTGCGGGAAGTTGTCGTGGCACTCTTCGCACTGATGAGCGCCTTTGACACGCTTCCAGTTGTCGTGGTCACACTCGTGGTCTTCCTGGAGGTTCTGTGCCACTTGTTGAACTTCCTGCTCGGGTGGGGGGTCGGCTCGATCTCGACCGGCGACGTGTCGAGCTCGGAGCAACAGCCTTCTCTCATCCCAGATCGCACAGGTGCACAGTTTCCAGGTAGAGCCGCAGACATAGCAGAACTCGTACCTACAGCGACATCTGTGAAAAGAGAGATATCATGGGTGTGAGCTATGTGACAAGCGGAAAGCCATAAGAAGAACAAGGGCTTTGACCTACGTGATATGGTTGCATCCTGTTCCCAACTCGATGACATGGCTGCATCGCGCACAGCGCTGCCATCCCTGCTCGGCTGCAAGGTTTAGAATAGTCTGGTCTTCAGCCTGGTCATTCTCGCACTCGGTCCCTACATGTGCGGGCCGTTTACAGAGAGTGCAAGTCTCCTGTTGACAGATCTTGCATGTGCCGATGTAGCCCTGCACCTGATATGGCATCAAGTACTGACCGCAGCCCGCTCTGGAGCAGTAGGTCTTGTACGGATCTTCCCTTTCAATCAATTTGTCCTCCAGCTGCTTGGCCTGCCGATGGCCCAGATGATCCTGGAGCGTCGAGGGAGGAATCGGCAGACGGCAGCAGCGGAGCGGCAGCAGCGATTCGTCGGCCAGTGCCTCTCTGACTAGACGTAACACACAAGCCTTACAGTACTGATGCGAGCACGGTGTCTGCATCATACTCTTCAAGGGCTGTTCCTCCAAGCACGCAACACACTCAGCCGCGCCAGTGTCATCCAAGGGGGGCTTTGCGGCGGTTCTGGAAGACGACCCAGCGCCGTATCCGAGAGCAGCTGCAGTGCGGGCGGGTAGCAGAGACGAGATATCGGCCCCGTCTATCTGTGCCAGGATCCTGGTGGCCTCCTGGGTCTGTTGCGTGGCTAGACGCTGGGCTGGCTGGTGCTGGGCCTGTTGCGCCTGGTTTCCATATCGAAGAGCGAGCGTTCGGTCGGCGAGTGCCTTGCTCTCCTCCTGCGCAGCTAAGGTGAGTGCCACGCGGTCGTCGTAGGTTGCTCGATCGATGCTCAGGGCCATCTGGTTGTCATGGGTGGTCGTGGCGCACTGTTGGATCTGGGATGCCCATTCGCGTAGCGCGACTTCATGATCGGATGGTCCACTGTTATTGTTCCTGGCCCTGCAGGCTTCGATCTCCTCCTGCACATCATGGTGGAGCAAACTCAGGATTAATTGTGCGGAAGCTTCATCCATACTGGTTAAAGTGCTGTTGATGGGGTTTTCGGTGTGCGAGATGTGTTGGGGCTGTGGATTTTGATAAGTCTATGATCAGAAATATGGAAAGTGGTCGCAGCTTAGAGAAGAGAAGTGCAGAGGAGAGAGCAGCAGGTTGCTTTGCCAGCTTAAAGGGGTTGAAAGAAGAAGTGAGGAAGAAAGGCGAAGAAGAAAGATGAAAGCAGAAGACAGACAGGTGCAAGAAAAAGGACGGTGAGTTTGAGTTGTGTTCAGTATGCATTCAGAATGACAATGAAAGCGGGAACATAGTTGTCAATACTGAACGTAGTCATCAAGGATACAATTAATGGGAGCAGTGCAGTGCAGTGCAGTGCAAGGCAGTGCCGAGGAGCGGCTGGCTGGATTCCTGAGCCTGCTATATAGTCTTTTTTATCTAGGAAGGCACAAACTTCCGGGGTAAGCGACATCATCCTGAAGCAAGCATAAAGTCAACTGCTTGTGAGTCGACCTCGTCCTTGTATTCTCTTCTAATCGTCCTAGACTTGTTCAATCCCTAACTTCCTTGATTCTATAGCAACATACTATTCACCTTCCAGTCCCTCTTGTCCTCTCCCTATCTCCCGGCAAATTCTAATCTCCAACTGCATCAACAACTTCAATCATTACCCATGCCTTCCTTAGCTTCGCAACGTCTTCCTCAAGAGAAATATGCCAGAGTCGAAGACTGGATCTTGAGAGATGACGAAGACGCGCCGAGATTCTACAGGAAACTTCTTGCAGACCAGACTTCGATTCGTGCAAGTGAGTCTCCCCATCACGATATTGATGGAAAATGTCACACTACTACAGCCCAAACAGCGCAGCCCAAAGCTCTCGCCCAGAGCAATGCTGACGCTACCTTGCCAGAGGTCGGAGGATGCTCACCCTCCCATCTCGCCGATGCAAAGCCTACTGCACTGCAGGATGAGAAGCTTGATAGATACGAGCGCCGTATGAGGCACAAAACCAAGGACGACCGATATGACTATAAAGAGACCAAGGTCCAGAAGAAGCTCGAACGTCTTTCAAAGCATCTCAGGCGAGCAATCGCCCACAAGTTCCATGCGCCCAATGTGGCCCAAGATCGATTGACGGTAAGTCATGTCCTCTGAGCTACTTAGTATATTCCCTTCATAATATGACGATGCTGATGAGATACAAGATCAACCATCGCCAAGACTTGGGAATCTTCAAGAAGGGAAAGACCTCTTCCCCTATCAAATCTAGAGGTACGCTTGCCTCAGACACGCTCGAATATCTCTTACATATAGATTTTGACTGTGCTCTAGTCCCCATACTTGGCTTTTCAGAGGAAGACTTCCTGGCAGGAAAATCTCAAAGCCTGATCCCTCGGAATGATGTATCTGAGACGTATTTCGGACCGCTCCCAGATCGTGACATAGCAGATACAACCAGACGCGAGATGCAGAAATCAATTCGTCATGAAGATCACCGGTCACAACACGGCACAGATGGGAAAAATGGAAACGTGCTAAGAAATGCTATGAGATCGCCACGTACTGCCTTGGACCTGTCGTCAGACCCCGACCTGGAAAGCCACACTAGAAATCTTCTGCGGGTTAATTTCCGCTCTCCCACGAAAGCCACTCCGGGAAAAAGGCTATGGACTCTGGAGGATTTACACCGCTTACTCAGGGAGAGAGAGACCCTCTGGGACTCGGGGAAGAATGATACTCAAGCCTCGCAACGCAGCAGAATATCTCTTAACAGAGACTTTCTCAAACGCATGTCCTCGTCATCGCCCATGCGAACCGCAACCACTGCGCCTATGCCGCCCAAGAAGATTCAAAGAACTGGAAGAGGACATGCAATTCAGCGGGAGCACAGAGATCCAGGCATCAAGTCTCGAGCTACGATATTATCGGCAAATTCTAAAACGCCTCCAGAATACGCACACCGACAGGAGGAATCCTTGCGGAAAGTCACCAGAGACTGGATCACTCCGACAAAGTCATCTCAGCATATATTACCCTGTGAAGTTTTACAGAATGAAAGGCCCAATATGCCAGATGTGCCATATTCTGAGGGCAAGGATGAAGTGTGCCGTCAGGTTTCTTGCGATGCCCAATCGAACTCGACGTTTGTCACTTCAAGCGGGCATAATGAGATCATCGATGACTGCTTCCCATTGAGTCCCAGCAAGGTGGACTATGCTGCCCTCGAAGCTGCGTGTGACGCCATTTTGGCTTCCGAATCGAACTTCTTCGAACCTCTTCAGGAAAGTTTCAGAGAGATTTCCGCTTCAAGTTTCGAGCCTGGGATTCCAACACGGAGGTCGGAGAGTGCTCTGGAAAGAAAGCCTTCAGCCAGGGATACACATGAAGACACGCATGGCTACGCAAATGACGATCGGACATGCTACTACTTGTCAAGCCATTCGGCGGACAGGTCGTGGAAAGCCCCGGCAAGCGGTGCGGTGAGAGATGTGCCTCTCTCAAGGTACATTACGACAATCTATGACGGCGGTCTGTTCACTGAGAATGAACAAATGCAAACGCGCGCTGAGTTTACCACCCATGCAGAAGGCTGCTTGGAATGCAGACTGCGACAAGGCTCTGGCTCGCATTGCGAGCCCACAAGGCTACAAATTGATGTCAGCGATGATCTGAGAGGGTTTTGGCAGCGAAGGATGTTGTATTGACGGTGTACTATATTTTGTCAACTCTTACTCCCCCAATATCTTGTATTGGTATTTTGATGGGATGATTTTGCATTTATTGGAGCCAAGCTCGGTTGTATTTGAAAGTGAGGATGCTTGCCACGATTATTTGAGGAGATGAGAGTATCATGTTTCCTAATTTCTGGGAATATTCAAGATCAATTGAAGATCAGCATGACAAAGAAAATGGAAATATGAGTAAGAAAAAGGTGGGAAGGTACATCAGAGGGGCTCAAAATGAAACCAGCCTATGACAGACAGTGTAATTGATTGACCAGGCTGTCCAGTCTACCATGACCCTTGTTCTCGAGTAGGTAGCCCCGAGCTGGCTCACTAGGTTGGGGTGTATTTTGGCCGTAGCCTGGAGAGCTCCCTGTCAGGTCCCGAGAGCACGGTCAGGGGTCACAAGGTGTCATTGTGCCCGTCTAAGTTAACATACCTTATTTGATGGGGCTTGGCATTTAAGCTTGATACATCAACAAACAGAACTGTTGTAAGAAACCTCCCAGTATGCTCCCAGAAGCTCTAGAATGCTCCCACCCTCTTCATTAGTCTAGATGATAAGCAAGCCGCACTGTCTGTTCTCCCGGAGCCTCGACGCCCTCCACAGGGTAAAGCTCAACAGTGATCGGTACTGTAATGGCCATGAGAGAGTATATTGCTTTCTCTTCCCTTTTCTCACTGCGGTAAAAGTGACGTTTGTAATCAAAAGGCTCAGTACCCTGCTATGAATTGCGACCCTGACACTTCCATTGAGTCACCAGCCTTGCAGGGGAACCTCAATACAACAGGGCTATCCTACTACCCCTCCACGGCTGAACCAGGCTGCCGTCTGAGGAGAATGATGGAGCGAACCAGACCCCTAACTGATTACGCCAGCTTGCAGGAGAAGGGGCAACGTAGCAGGATCTTGATAGGTGTCTACGTAAATGCATGGGAGGAAGCGTATGCGATATAGGAAAATCAGGCAGAGAGACTAAGTCTTTCAGGCAACAGGCAACAACCTGGGAGTGGATGTGATGGGGCCCATTTGCTGAGTTGACTGGACGATAGAGCCGTCAGGACAGAAGTACTATGTGTCTGGGGGCCCAGACCGTGGACCGGACTGCAGCAGACCTAACCAGGTAGTCGGGTCAAACACGCTTGCAAGGAAGGGTACGGAGAATGAGTAAAGGGCTGCAGGAACCGACTTGTCGGGATGTTTTTGGTTTGTCGCACTTGATTTCCGGTGCGGATTGAATGGTGCTGCAACGCTTCTCTGGGGGTGGTCTGGCTGCATGTGTAGGTATTGAGACCCGAGGAATCGTTGGGCAGTGAACTGAGCTTAGAGCTGATGTTATGCGTGTTCCTTGTTGCTTGTTCGTTGCTTTTTCATTCTTGGCTGTTTGGCTTCCAGGATATTTGCAGGAATAGGGCCAATCACTCAGGCAAAATCTTACGGGTTGTCTTTCTCCAGCAATGCCCTTGATAGTGTCAGATAATTGATCGAAGTCATCCTACCTGTATCACCCATATAGATTATTAGTGAGCCAAACTTTAGGCTTTGGAGTCATCGACGAACGATCTAAGCCACCGCCAGATTCGCAAGTCAGATCTGTGAGAGGATGCAGCCAGCCCCCAACTGAATTGTCAGCGGCAATAACGCAGGAAAAGTAAATTCGCCGCCGATCCGGACCCGAGAACCAGGAAAGGACTCGGATGGAGCCTTCCTGGCTTGCATTTATCCATGCAGTGTTTCAACTTCAGGAAGCATATGACCTGAGACTCTGATAGGCCGGTCAGAACTGTCTAGTTCTTACCGTAAGTCCAGGAGGCATTCACTGTGTGTACGCCAAGACATATGTGCAGATTTGATGGTCTGCTATCACTTTCTAGTTCAGCCAACACGAAAAGCAGCTGAGGGGTCATCCGCTTTGGGGTGTGCATTGCCGCTTATCTTTTGTTCTGAGGATATCATCTCCGCGGAGGAGAGTGAAGTTTCTTGATCAAGCGTATGTGCGCGCGTGTGTACATACTAAGGTACTATTGTCCGTTGTAGAGAGGCGTTGTCGCAGGACATTGTGGCTTTAAGCTAGCTGACCTCATTCACGCCAGAGTCACCCGGTTTATCCCCTTTGTTGGGTCAGTCACTAGTGGCGAAGTGTCAGAAATACCACGTACTTACCTTGCATTTGGCAGTCTTTGTCAGGTTCTTAGCTGACTTCGGTTGCGCTGCGCAGCTCAAGAGGAATTCGCTACGTGAAGGAGTTAAACCCACAAAGGAAGGAGTCGTATGATACAATAACCTTACTTCTTTCTGACCTGAAAAGGTACAGATCAACTCTGGCTATCAGTTGACTGTTCCATCATGTCGACTTGTTGCATTGGCTTGCTGCACTATGCTGTGTACAGATCCCCGGCCGGAGGGTGGTTCGAAGCTCGTCAATGGTCTCGCATGAGACTTTAGTGAGAGCTTGGCTCAGCGCAATTAGATCAGCTGGGGAACATGGAGGTAGGCAAAGAGAAGCTAAAGTATCTGTCCATTGTGTCTGGGGGTTGTATAAAGAGGTACAGCAAGCGATGGGTGGGAAAGCACAGAAGATCAAACCAAATGCGAAAAGAATGGCCAACAAGCAAGATCCTCCTTCAGCTCGAACGGCAGCTGCGACTACTCAACGTCCAGGCTTGACTTCACTTCCAGTGCCATTGATCGAGCGCAATCTTGCAATTCATGAGGAACTCAGTGAAATGGTCTGCTTGCCCCATTCCTCTACCTCTCCCTCGTCTTCCTACTCTCATTACACGAAACTTGTCGTCTTATGCCTACTGTGCCACTAACATCCCACCTCAGCACGCTCACACAGAGTCTACCGTGCCATCATGGATCGACTCTCTCATCGCAGAAGAACGCATCCACGCTTACTACTCCCAGCTCGGCGTCTCTCTTTGCGAGCCCCCGGCTGTTGCCAACCATGATATCGAATCAGGTATGGAGCAGCTCCTCCAAGTCGACTACTCTTCTTCCACAAAGCAACAGCCGAGTGCCCGACTCGCTGCTAGCTCGGACAACCAGGTGCCTGCTTCACTGAAGCTCTTTGAGAGTAAAGTCGCCCTGGATCAGACCAACATCCGCCATGAAACACCGCTGGAGCGCTTCCTCACGCCGGGATACAGCGATCCGTGCTTCTATGCCCAGCCTGCACTGGCCCAGGCGGGCATCCAGCTGGGGAGCTTGGAGGGGAAGGAGAAAAGGAAGCGAATGGCGAGGGAGAATGTGGAGCGTGTCGTTTCTAGGAGGGTGGACTCGTCACCCTAACCCTCTTTTGGAGTGTCTCGCGTGTATGCTCTCAATCCGTTTCTTATGCCACTGGGAAGACGTCCCTTCTGCCCTGTAGTACGCCGGGCCAGATTTCTAGGTGCATGCTAAAGACTTGGATAAGCCCTAAGTAAGGCTGATATTTGGGGTATACCTTTCTAAATAAACAAACAAATATGCTATGCTATGAACTCAACACCAGAGATCAGACCTGTTATCTCCAGAGGAGAATCTCCTATTCACTGGACATTTTTTGGAGGCGCAAGATATATCCAAGTGATCAAGCCCCTCAAAAAGCATCTGAGGGGCTGCTCCACGAAAAGGGAAAAGGTTCGCCTGATACCATCGCGAAACTCCTTTCACTACAAGAATAGGATGCTGCAACGGTATAGACCCTCGGATATAGACAGCGCGAGAATCCCTTCCCATATATAACTCCCCCCCCTTTTGTTTCCACTATCGCTTATAGAGGGGAGAGAGCCCCTACAGCCCCGGCTCCCTTGAAGGCAGCCTTGTTGCTTACGACCACCTCAACGGGGTACTTCCATTCCATGAATCTCGTCCAACCTGCATAAAGTATCAGCACCTCATCCCGGAGGCATAATCAAATCCAAAGGAGGGGGTGGGATTCAAGGCAGCATACTCCAATAAGCGCATTTCCGGCCCAGATACTTCCCCACGAACGGAACGAACACCATGGTCAAAAGCATCTCTAACTGCTCCAGACTTTCGCGCCATTCCTCCTCCGCGTCGGAGTAATCTGAGAGGGTATCGAGGTCGGAGACGGAGGTACTTTCGGAGGGGAGAGAGGCGATGTCGTCGTCGGAGGCGGAGGAGTAGGATCGGTCGCGGGAGGAGACCATGTAGGCGGAGGTGGTGAGGGAAGGGTTGGAGGCGGAGGGCGAGGCAGACATTTTGACGGTGGGAGGGTCGGTGTGGTTTTTCCAAAGTATAGAGTACTAGGTAGCAGGTTGCGTAGTCTCGAGGAAAGATGCGGGGATGAAGTGGGTGTTGGGTGTTTATTGGTATCGTCGGAGGTGGTGGCAGTGGTGAAGAGAGGGATGGAATGGTGTCAATCGGAAATCTTCGCAATCAAGCAGTGGCCTGCCTACCGCCTGAGCAAGGAATTCAGCATGAGCCAACTTTGGTCGAATGTGAAGGTACAGCAAGGTATCCGAAGGATAGCAGCGGATAAGGCTTGGAGCTCGGCGACGGTAGTTCTTGTTCAGTGACGAATCGGGTTGGGGATGGTCTGATGTAATCATTCCAGGGGGCTGAGGCAGAGAGGCGACGAGGCAGCAAGGCAGGAACAGTCAGGCAGAAAGGCAGTCAGCTCGGCATTGTTGGTGGCCTGAGGAGGCGACCGACAGTACGGTAATGTAAATACGGTCCTGAGTCACTGGGTGGAATGTCACGTGAGGGGACCCGCGATAACGAGAATCGCCCTCTCGCAACCCAAACCAGCAACAACTCAACGGCAGATCTAAGAAGATCGACCTCATCATTCTCTACGAAAAGTATTCTCTCTGTCCCTCGAATTTTGATTCTCGGACTGTTCTGTTCTGCGTCGCGTTAGACTGAGAAGCCCTTTGAATATCATAAGCGCCGAGCCAATATGGCGGACACTGTACGTCACAAAGCCCGTTTTCCCTTTACCGATTGCCCTCCCACATTTTCTTCATTCATTTCATACCCGCTGCTGCTGCTCTCCAAACCACCTTCGTCTTTGCCTGCGTCAAACAACCCTCTTTCTTCCCCAGCTCCTGTCGATCACGTGGTGCTGGTAGTCAACGAGCAGTGCTATCCCTGAGAGTTTTGCTGTCAGGGCTTTTTCATCCTTCACTTTCACATAATTTCGGAGCCCCGCTAACCTGTTGGGCTGTCCGGTTCCCCGATTAACAGGTCGAACCCAAGCAACGCAAGTCCGTCGCATTCAGTGAAGGAGACGTCATCATGGATACCAACGGCGAAGTCACAGAGACCCCTCAGGTTGAGAAGCCCGTTGAGGCTGCTGAGGGTATGTCTTGATACCTCCCCCCTCCATGGCCGGGGTGATTGTCCTGTCCAACCCCCAAAAAATCTACGCGACCGCCTCAAGCTAACACCCTCTCTTCCCCCGGGATATAGACAAGTCCGTCGACGAAGTTACCGAGCTCTTCAAGGGCCTGTCGAAGAAGAAGAAGACCAAGAAGCCCAAGGACACGGAAGCCGGCGAAGGCGATGAGGCCTCCCCCGCCGGCGACGGCGAGTTTGACGTCTCCGCCCTGAAGAAGAAGAAGAAGTCCAAGTCCAAGAAGGTCGACACCGACGACTTCGAGGCCAAGCTGGCTGAGGCCGGTGTCACCGCCGCTGCCGGCGCCGGCGAGGAGAAGGAGGAGGAAGTCCCCGAAGGCGACCACGAGGCCGGTACGGGCATCTGGGCCCACGACGCCACGCAAGCCATCCCCTATGCGCTCCTCGTCTCCCGATTCTTCTCCCTCATCCAGAGCCACCACCCCGACCTGCTGTCCAGCGGCACCAAGTCCTACAAGATCCCCCCGCCCCAGTGTCTCCGTGAAGGTAACCGTCGTACCATTTTCGCCAACATCGCCGATATCTGCAAGCGCATGAAGCGGTCCGACGACCACGTCATGCAGTTCCTGTTCGCCGAATTGGGTACCAGCGGTAGTGTCGACGGTTCCCGTCGTCTGGTCATCAAGGGTCGTTTCCAACAGAAGCAGATCGAGAACGTCCTGAGAAGATATATCGGTATGTGTTCATCCCCATCTTCCCTTCTTATACCCTCTTTAATCCCACTCCGTATTCTTTACTCTTACGAACTGCCACTAACTCCTGTATAGTCGAATACGTCACCTGCAAGACTTGCCGCAGTCCCGACACCGAGCTCAACAAGGGTGAGAACCGTCTATACTTCGTCACCTGTAACTCTTGCGGTTCTCGTCGTTCCGTCGCCGCCATCAAGACCGGTTTCCGTGGACAGGTCGGCCGCAGAAAGAGACAGGGTTAAACGATTTAAAAGCAGGGAATTTAATTTGTTATTCCCCCACCCCAAAGAGGTGCGGAGGGGACAAAAAGAAAAGGGGCGGAGAACTGGAGAGGAAGAAAGAGGGGTTTTGTGCGTTTCTTCTATGGAATCTATGGGTTTTTGCGTGTGGCATAGTCCCTTTCCCTTTCTTTTTCTTTTTTTCCCAGCTTTTACTTTTCTTACCTGCCTCTCTTTACTTCGTGATGGACACGGTTATGATTTCATATTCCCAACACTTCCCCCTCAACAAATTCTCTATCTTCCTCTCGTATACAAAGAGCTTCCTTCTTCCTTTTTTAACTTTCTGGATTATGTATCCTCGTTGTGGTGAGGATCATGTCGGTATGTGGATGATGGGAGGTTATGTGGAATGACCGTTAGTCTTTCTAATGTCTGTTGCTGGTTCGGTGATAGGGGGTGGTTTGAGGGGCTTGAGGGACTGTAGAGAAAAGTAAGGGGAACGTTGAGAAATGAGGATGGTTTCTTTTAGCGGCATGATAGGTGGATAAAAATGGCATGACCTACATACTGCAGTCTAGACACCCCGCCAGTTCTGCGTAATCAAGACTATGCTCCGGTTTGCTGGGTCGAGTTCAGCCCACCATGACTCCAAATCAATATCACATCGCTAGAACTAACCAGACAATCTGATCATGCACCATAAGTTCCAATTTAGATACTATTTCCAAAGAAAATAACCCAAAATCTGGCGTGAGGAGAGGTATATAACAAATAACATGAGAAAGACACAGAGCCCGGAGAAGTCGAGGTTGAACAAGATATTGGCCGTTGCTTCAGACCAATGCATGTGAAGCATGCTTCAGCTGGTGGATTTCCCTCCGTTGAGATGGGCAAGGAAGGAGGACACATTACGGGTCTGCATGTACACAGACCCTGGACCAGTGAATCGACAAGCCAAGCCCTCCCCGGCACTCCAGTTTGAGATGATGCCGCCGGAGGCGACGCGCTCGATCTTATATTGGCAGTTCCACGCTACCAGGTGGCCGTTGTTCACGAAATAGACCTCACCTTCGGCGAGCTAGATTATCACAGGGCATGAAAGGTTAGTGATGGCCGACAGCAGTAGAGATGAACCGGGGGTGAGAAATGAGATGGAACGCACCTCTTTCTTGACAATGGCGCCGAAGCTTTGCATCCAGAGGATGCCGGAGCCTTGGAACTTGTAAACAAAGAAGCCTTCCCCGGAGAAAACACCCTTCATGATGCCCTGGGTCTTGTATTCGCTCTTGACGCCACTGGTGGAGGCGAGGAAGGCATCTCGTCCCACCGTCCACTCCTGGGTACCGTCCAGGCGGAGGGCGGTGACATCACCCAGTACAGAGGGGGCGAGGAGAAGCTCGCCGGGTCCTGTGTATGTTGAGCGCGCGACCTGGCCGCCGGCGAGGGCCTTCATCCATCCGAATGAGAGCGAGCCTCGAAGCGAGATTGAGGGGGACATTGCGATCATAATCCCTACGCCGTATTAGCTTTCGTGCGCCCATTGATATCAGGTGTATCTCATTCTTGCAAAGTTGGGAAATGAGAGCTACTGGACAAGCTTCGGAGTTGCGAACTCACCGGGTCTGGCCTGTAGGGGACATCCGACGGCTAATTGAATTGTCAATAGACTATTCGTGTCCCGGTGACTGATCCTGTAGCTACCGCCGTTGAAGGTGCCCACGTCATCCATGTCGGTAGACATGGCACCTATGAAGTTAGCAGATGCTAAAGGACCTGGCTTGCTGCCAAGTGACATGTCCGTGTGGGCTCTTGTAAGTGTTGTGCCGGACGGAGGTCTATCTGAAGAGCTTATGGCTGCGTTAGCACCGTATGCTCCCGTATTCTCCGCATCATATACGGCTTTCTCGCTCATTGGTGGTGTTGGAGGTTTATTCTCGCCATTAGAGGGCGCAGGCTGCTGGGGCGGCGGAGGGAAGCTGAAGTTGGGAGGTGGAAAGCCAGGGGATGCCTGGGGCGGGGAGTAAACTGCTAGTACTGATATTAGAAGTCTTCAGAGCCATCCTAGATTGGAAAGGCATACTGGGTGCGTTGGAGGGATCTATTTGACGAGCGTTGGTTAGCACCGTGCAGGAAATACGAGTTGCAGTAGGACAGTCGTACAAGAAAATGAGCCTTGGCTCGGCGGGGGTGGATAAGTGAATTGTCCAGACATAGCTGCTGCAGCTGAGAAATAAGGACGCTTGCTACAATAAGAGCGAATGTCAGTCTATATTTCAATTGTAGGCGATGTATGATGCACATCACAGGAATCGAGACGTTTGACTGACAATTGGGTTACTCTTCGTTTCGTTATGAGCTTTTGGATGCGCGACGAGGTATGGAGTATATGAATACAAATGAACTAAAGTCGGAAATGGGACGATAAGTGGGACAGTGAGTTGCTCTGCCAGAGATGCAATGAAATATTCGTTAGGACATTAGAAAGGAGCCAGGGTAGGTGAGTGCGAGACAGACATTGCGACAAGCCGACTCAAGGAGCAAGATCATCTTTAAATGGTCTGAAAATGCACCGCAGTTCCATGAAAGAGGAGGTAGACTGAGACGAGGCCCTTGTGGCCGACCAAGCAGCACTACTGCATAGTGATCTCCAGTCGGCGCTTAGAGAACGTATCTAACGATCTGGATGGCTGGCCTCCATGCGGCACGGTGCGCTGGACCATATTATTGGCCAGTGCATGGGCGCTTTCATAGAAGTCCATACCATTCATTCGGAAAGCCCAGAAAAAAATAGAATTCGTATTACGTTGGAAGAGGGACAATGTCGGGGCGTCCAGACAGATGGTGCAGGAAGGAAGATGCCAGGCCGTTTGATTCCCCGCTCGGACGCAGACTCCTTATGTAGTATAGGTCCTGCCTCCTTCCTGCCTCGGAGTCGGCCCACAATATCACTGCTGCAATCACCAAGACCACGAGGCTCATGATCTGTCATGCATGCATGTTCCTGACTTATGGAGAAGTATTTCCCCTCCGGAGAAAACCCTTCGAAAATAAACTCGTCAATGGTCCGATTTCAGTTATCATACTGCTCATGATTATCGGTGCCGGAGGGATAACCAACAGAATCCAGTATAGAAGCACGCTCTCCTTCCTCGGCATAAAGCACTACTTCGGCACTACTGTGATTCTCATCGCTTCGAAGCACTTGCCGCCGGCTCAATCAAAGCCAGAAGTGCAGAGCGTCTTTCTCCCTGCACCTGGTCGAATATGGTCAAGCCTTTGTTGTTTTTCCGATTGATGTCAGATTTCTGAAGGAGCAGCCGAATGATCTCCTCCATCGCACCATTCTCCACTGCTGTCATTAAAGGTGTATTCCCAAAATCATCTTCGGCGTTGGTGTTTGCCCCATAATTCAAGAGCATCTCGACCATGCCCACTTGCGCGTTATCATCTGCCGCGGCAAAGAGCAAAGGCGTCCTGCCATCAGCTGTAACAGCATCCACATCGGCGCCTTTATCGAGTAAAAGCCGCGTCACCTCCACTTGGCCATGTATGACCGCTTTATGCAATGCAGTGAAGCCTATGCTATCTTGATGATCAACCTCCGCTCCGTATCTGAGCAGGAGCATAGCTGTTGAAACGTCGCCCTGAACAGCCGATATAGCCAAGGGCGCTTCATTGCTTCGTTTCAGACCCAAATTTGGATTGGCTCCATTCGCAAGTAGTCTCTCTGCCACATCCTTCTCTTCGGAAGCGACGGCTTCGATTAGAGCCGAGTAGCCCTCGTATTCCCGACCATCTATATCAGAGCCATGCCGAATCAGCGTTTGAACCGCGAAGTCCGCGTTACACTCTGCTGCAAAGACAAACGCCTTCTGTACCAGAGCCCCATATGCTTGACCGACCTCAGTCCATTTGCACAAGATCCAATGGGCGAGGGCATTTTGCGAGTGTTCAATTGCCCATTTGAGGCACATTCTATCTTCCTCCCCAGGCACCTGCCTCTCGAAGACGATGTCCAGGCCATGTGTAAGCCATCCTAGTATAGTTTCCTTGGCAAGAATCTGGTTATCTCTTTCGAGATTCTGTGACTGAGTGAGATTTTCACTAAAATCTGAAGATCCTGATGCTGAGCCTCCCGACACACTGTTTTGCGCGGTGTGCAACGTGCTGCTCTGGGAAATTGGCTGAAGATCAAGATCTTTGGATGCGCCCAAGGCCTCTAAACCTGGGATGATTGAGTGATTCGGGGCCTTGTTTTTGACTATATGCCACACGATCCAGCCAAGTTGATGGGAGAATCGTGACCACCATGCTTGATGGTCGGTGGAGTTCATCCAATTCAAGCGCCGGCTGAGACCCTCATAGAACTTAGCCCTCGCGTCAAATTGGAGGAGCGATCGCACTTCATCAAACCCGGCCTCTCGAACTACAATGTCACTGTGGCTCATGGCACGTTGACACAGATAGCCGAGCTCGAAAACACAACGCTCGAGCTCCTCTCCTTCGCAACGCTCGCACAGCCAGCGCGCAACGGAAAAGGCTCCTTTCCAATCTGCGTCAGATATCAATCGCTCAATCTTGGTTCTAACGCTGTCTGAGTCTGCAGCAAGCTTTGGCAGCAAGAGCTTGAGAGTTGGAATAACGCACAACAAGGCGTCCTCCCTCGATCCCAGCCCGGCCTCCGCGAAGCACGTCACGAGAAGATCAACGCGGTCGCTGAATGTCACAAACTTGTTCTGTGACCCTTCGCGCACCTCTACTCTACCTCCGAGCTCCGTGACATCTCGCAGGGCATTTTGGAGGAACCGTATATAAATATCCTGAGCGGCCATAGTCTCCATTCTATTGTCAGTTTGCACCACCAGTATATCCTTGCTGGTAGTTTCTTTATCGGGAGAAATTCCAAATAGCCGATTGTGAAAGGCGATTGTCTTCGAAGGCACCATATGTGCTTCTGTATGGCGGTGGATCCATTTATGGAACATTAGGTCCGTTTCCTCTTTCGAAGCTTCCGACTCGGTCAGTCCTACAGCACGGACGAGCCTGGTTCGAAGCCATTTGCTATCAGTTTTGATGAGCGACCAAGTCCATAGGCCCAGCACCGCTTCAAGGACTGCCACATCAACCTGCCACTGTAGGGTGTCCTCCGATCTTTTGAGCTTGACAGAGTATGTTTCGTAGCTCGAGTAAGAATTTCTACCAGGTGCTTGAGACTGGATCAGGAGGTCAAAGCTATGCGTGTCCTCGTTGATATGCTTCCAGTCCGACAAAAAGTTCATTGTCTCCGTGATCGTCTTTGCCAGGCTGCGAGCTACTTTTCTGATGGGGAGATCATCCCAATCCATGCTCTCATGACTGCCTTCAGATGTGAGTTGAGCTAGTCGCGTTCGTGTCTGGATAGCTCTGATACCCGGGCCATTGATCCGTGCTAGGGCTTGTGTACCAGATGACTGAGGCGCAGCTGTTGGATTAGCCACCAACTCGAATGCTTGTATGTTCTCGAGGTGAAACGTGAAGAAATCCAGCTCTTGTTTCTTGTGCGAGACTAATTGTCTCTCAGGGTTCGAAAACCGGTTCTCTTCTGGCCCGGTCCTTTTCGTCCGGAGAGAGGCCCTCACGATCGACATCAAGAACGTCGATCCCACCTGTGCGAGGATGACAGAGGCATGTAGTCCACGGAAGCCAACAAACTGCGTCACGAAGCCAACGACAGTCGTAACCACCGTGAACACCAGCAATGGTTCCTTCCCGGGATTCTGAGAGCTTCGGACCGATTTGATATACATGATGTCTGTGGTGGCCTCCGCCGCAGGCCCTTCGTTGACAGCCAGGAACGCGCCAAACACCTGGTCTCCCACATCTTGGTCTCCCGGTTGCAACCAGTAGATCTTGCTCGGCGTCGTAGGTCGAATATAGCACTTCGTGGAGGAGCGTTCGATGATGAAAGCACAAAAGAACATCCCGATACTGAGTAGCATAGATCCCATGAAGAACAGTGGGAAAGCATAGCTGACGACTCGATTTCCATCTTTTTCGAATTGATCCGGGAACAGGAAGACGGTTATAGCAGAGTAGACAAGCACGCCTGGAACAGCTCGTTAGAAGAAACACTGTTTCCCTTCTTCAATGCGACTAATCGAATCGAGACCGCCATGCTTACCGACTTGCAACACAAACCCCAGAGCGGCCGCAGCGTAAAACCAACCCTGGCTTCTTCTTGCGATCCCTTTGTTCAAGGACAGATTCGCGATGTCAAGCTCGGCCAGGTATTCCTTCTCATCGAGAATCTGCCGGCCTTTCCCGGCCACCCAGGCACCGGTCTGGAGCGCGTCATGCAGGGTCCCGATCCTGCGCACGCGCTGCTGGGTCTGCGGGTCTACGTCCTCCCACACCACAACCTCGAGGACTCGCGGCCGTCCAAGGACCCTGGACACGCCTCCATCGTTGAAGAGCTCGGCTGTGCTCTCCGAGACGCAGGACAGGAGTTCGTTTTCTGCCTCGCCGGGGCCTTCCTGCGCCCGGCCCACAAACGCTTTCAAGGAGGCGTTCCCGCAGACACGGATGACGGCGATCACGGCCGTGAGGATGCCCAGGGGAGAGACCGCGAAGATGAAGCTGTCCAGGATGCTGATCGACTCGGAGAGGTATTGTTTGCTCAACCGATCGCCGAAAAGGGAGATCAATGGCGCCTGGATAGAGACCGGTTAGTTAACTATATGGTTGCCGTGGTGGTGGGCGTCTCTCATACGTACCAGGTCTGTTGCTAGGTCGTCCGTGAAATCATCCCATCCTGTGGCTAGAACGCTGGGTGGGATGGCGAGCAATGCGAATATGATCATTTGCCATGACATGGCTGGGGGAAATGCGACTCAATCGCCCACAGCACCTTTATGAACACTGTACGCTTTCAAGATAACTTCTGGCTGGGAATTTGCTTCTCATGTTCCAGATATAGGAACCACATGTGGCTGTCCAGCCCTGTAGGCGCTATGCCCATAGCCCCCGTTGGGAGAGGCTGAAGCGCGAACTAATGTAGCCTAACAAGCTGGCGGCTGTTCCCAACAGCCCATAGGCCATGATTTGCGTGGCGAGAGACTATTTTCTATCCGAGTTCAACTCGATGTCTCTCGGTGCGTCGACGAGTATCTGCCCCCTTCTCTATTGTAATCCGATCCTGTACTTGGAATAGTCATTCCGGGCGCATGCAATACGTAAGTCCTCACCTGAGAGCTTTGAGCTTTGAGGCTGCTTGGCGCTAACAGAAGATGACAAGATGATCTATCCATGGAATATCGGATATCCTACTCAGGCCTTCAGCTACGGTGTCCAATTGTGTAACTTTCTGTTTGATGATGTACTGAGTATATCCAGAATTCCAGAACCTGTCACTTGCTATTCCGAATGGGTCTCACTAGAGCGATTGCGAATCAAGATAGTCACAGAGAGTATAATGGTAAGGATTAGAAAAACAACCACCAACGCCAATTCCATGAAAGTACTGGATTAAACGACAAAGAGCACACAAGGGTGATCCACAAATTCTCTCGGGCCCTTTCCTAGAGTTACCAACTTCGACAAACAAACATTAAAAGATGCTGTTCACAATGTTTGAACCAATGGTCGCACCAGCACCGAAGACAGCTAGAGTGTATCATCAGCATTCAAAAATTCGAAGAGTGCAAGTTGATGGGAAGGCAACAAAATGTTTTCCCTAGACAAAACTTACCGGCATTACCCAGTTTCTTGCCAAACTTCTTACCGTGTTCCTCGAATTTGCCCTTCTTGGCAGGGTCCCCATCAGGCGTAGAGCCACTTTGGCTCACTTCCAGAGGCATGTTTCCATAGTTGGTGGGTGGAGGGGACGAGACAGCCTTCTCATCAATCACGTCGACATAGCTGCGGGGGAAGATACCCTCGAGGTTGGTGCGCTCGTTACGACCACGCCACCCTATTATTTTTTTGTTAGCAGCCATAAAGGAGTTTCGTCGCCATTGTCAGGGATGTATAGAATCCTTACAATCAGCGTTCATGTGCTCCAAAACATGGATACGGTCACGCGGCTGCAGAGCCAAGTCGCCGGGGTCCGTCGGGGTGTACGCATACAGAGCCGAGGCGATAGACAGCACGGGCGGGGCCTGGGGATAAGCAGGAGGCGGCGGGACGGCCGGGTTGGCGTACGGCTGCGGCGGAGGCTGCGCTTGGTATGTCGCCTTCTCGTTCAACGAGGCATTGGCGAATTGGTTGACGGGAGGAGAATAGGGAGCAGGAGACGGCTGTGTCTGGATGGGCAGCGGCGCCACTGGCTGCGGCTGCTGGACTGGCGGTTGCTGAGGGGGCACCGAGGATCTACTGCGCTCGTTCTCTTTCGGGAGTTGCGATAAGATCGAGGAGAGTTGTGCACGAGTGATGACTGAGGAATCGGCGAGGAATTCGAGCTCCTACAAACAGTTTCTGAGTCAGTAACCCCAGTACCACACGCCAGTTATAATTTGACTGCAGTGTGTTCAAACAGGTGAGGGGATTCAAACTAACCGATCGGACGTTGCGGAGCGACCGGTTGGTCACGGCCGAGAACAGATCGCCTTGGGATGCCATGGCAGGCTATGTGAAGCAAATTCGAGTGATTTAACGAAACTAAACCAGGGCGAAGCAATCAAGAATGTGACTCGACTCGAAAGGCAGTAGAAGCGCTGGAAGAAAAAGAGTGAACAGACAGAAAGATGGATGTGGAAGATGAGAGGCAAATAATAATAACAGACGAGACGATCGATAATGGAGTGACTGAATAACGGATGCATTGGCCGCAGTCTCCAGTTGGTCCCTCCTCTTCTCTTACTCAGATTTGGTACCTGAGGCCGCTTCCACCCAGTGGCACCCACTCGTTCAGAGCCTGGAGAGGGGGTTGGCCTCAGCCCTTGTGGTTGTCTGATTGGCCCCGCGACATTTAGCTTGTCTTGTCATTCCAGGCACCATTATTATCCGTCTATATTTTCAATGTTCAAGGTTACAAGCCCTGCCTGGTGCTCGAGGTTGGACGCTTGATGCTGCTGGAAAGGGGCAAATTCTAGGTAGTGCTCGGCAGTCCCACTCAGGAATTGGGGCTCAATGAACTTGTTGTTGCTCTTCGAATGAAACAACCAAAGCCAACATCTGCCAAGGTTCAGGCCGACATGCTCCTCAACCTGTTACTTGGGAAAAGCAGTGTCTCGCATTTTCTCTTGGCCACACCTCAGATGTGCTATTCTTGGGTCTTCATCCTGTTTGATCTGTTGAAATACTACACTCTTTGCTCCACAAGTGTATCAAGCTCTCAATCGCTCCTTATTGCACATCAAGGCACTAGTTCGTTATGCATAAGCTACGTACCATGATTCAAGTGATCTAGACTATGCTCAAAATAGCATGGGTATGATTCAGCAAAGAAGCATCTTGGCTATCTGAGGCTATAAAAGGAAGAACCATCTATCACTGTCTTAGCAGAGTTAAGCAGAGAGCGAGTCCTCGCAATTTTCCTTATTGACTTGCTCAAACCTACAGTGCGTCATATGTACATTGGTTCTTAGATTCTCGCTAACTCTTCTCTCCCTATACTGTACTACGCTGTGAAGGTTGCGCACAACATTTACACCTCATCCTCAACAGCCACGGGAAATTCGTAATTGACTGAGTGAGGGCAGCTCGAGCTATCTGGAAAGATACTGGACTCAGAAGGCTTCGAAACACGTTTATGACATCATACGAAGTCCTTTGCTTCTTTTTACAGAAGCGTCTCCCTTTTACATGGTTGTAGTGAAAGCAATTGAAAGTAGACCTTATTGTGGGAGTATATATATCCGATTTATAAAGATGTGATGCTTCGAAACGACATGTGTATCGTCAACCGAGCCACAATAATCAACAGAGACATATAGGAAAAAGCCACAAAATTAGACAGCAGACCCGACAAGCCAGAACTCATTCTGCGAGCCAACGTGTCGGAATTGGCATGCAGTTGTCCTTCGTGGAGACTCAAAGCATTCATTGCTGACAATTCAATCGTAACTTGTGTATTGATCGGATCGTAATACACTGCCATGCAATTGTTTAAACCAAGACAGATCGGAAAGATACAACAAATAAGCGAGAAAGACTCATACTGACTCACAGTCGCAACCTGGGTATAGTTCGAGTATGCACACTGCCTCGATGGACTGACTGACTGACTGTACGACGGAGTTAATAGCCTTAATGGCACATGATGTCAGCAGCGATTAAGCCCAATTGAGGTTAGCGCCCAGCGCCCCTCTGACTCCGCCATCCCAAGGGCTCGAGAAGCTTCCGTGGCGGCGATATAAATTCGGCGGGTCTCCAACATCCCTCCTTACGACACATCTCACGCGATCTTTCTCTACTGCCACCTGCTCCTCTACGCCAAAAACTACGCTAACACCATCTTCTCAACCACCCCATCCTCACCACCGTCTCTACACAAATATTCAAAATGAGCGACTGGGACTCCGTCACGCGCATTGGAAGCAAGAACCGTGGTGGCCCTGCCATCCGCGAGACCGTCGTCAAGGGCAAGAGTGCTCTGAACGCCGCTCAGCGCCAGGGTCTCGTCATCGGAACCGAGAAGAAGTACGCCACTGGTAACGCTGTAAGTCATTTCCTCTCTCGCTTCATGGGCAGCCAGCCGCCACCCAAAATCCAAAAACTTCCGAAAGGAGGGGCAACCTGTTCTGACTTGAGCGAATGAATTCAGGCCGGACGCTCCGGTGCCCCCGAGGGCCAGCACTTGACCAAGGTCGACCGCAGCGACGACATTGTCAAGCCCAAGACCGTCGGCCACCAGGTCGCCGATGCCATCAAGAAGCGCCGTACCGACGAGGGCTACAAGATGACCCAGAAGGAACTCGCCACCAAGTGCAACACCACCGTCACCGTCATCCAAGACTTCGAGCGCGGTACCGCTGCGCCCGACCAGAAGGTCCTGAGTGCCATGGAGCGCGTCCTCAACGTCAAGCTGCGAGGCTCGGACATCGGAGCAGAGAAGTTCCCCAAGAAAAAGTAAATTGACTCGGGGGTGAGCCCGCGACTTTTTCTTCCGGGGAAGTTTGCATGAAGTTTCTTTGATTCTAATTTCATCTTCTCTCCTAATTCGGCTTTTTTTTCCTTCGAATCGTCTCGGGTTTTCCTCCATCAATTTCGCACTTTTTCTTTTATCCGGATGTCACGTCTAACGCACCTTTCCTTCTCAATATGAGATCTCATGATTCTTTTTTTTTAACCCAATTTTTTCTCCTTTGTTTATCTGCTGGTCAGAAGAGCGCTGGCCCGGTATTCAAGACGGAGTCCGTTTTTTTTTGTCATTCAGAACAAAGATAAAGACTTTTCTTTCCCCGAATCATACAAAATTCGTGATTCTGCTTGGTGGATATTGAAACTTCCTGGTTTTATGCATTTAGTCGGGCGCGATAGAAAATGTTGCCTAGCAAATTGACCTCGGAATTCAAATGATATGTTCATGAGCATGACAAGATTATGAGCAGGAGAGAAGTTGGAGTCATAGGGTGTGTGCAAAACAGTAAAGTAAAGCAAAATAAGGTTTCTTTTATTAGGACACACCATAGCGACCAGAAATAGGAAATGGTACCAACTCCGACTGTATCATGGAACAAATGAAATATAACTCATGCCCTGAATATCGCCTCGAGGTCTTCTTTTTCTCATACCCGCCGTACCGGTCTTGCCTTTCTACTTTTGGGGGAGTATAGTGAAAGAAAAGATGAAACTTCGCCTCATGACACATACAAAGGATGCGTAACTGGTTTTAAAAAAGATGCATTCCGAACGTCAAAATCGCCCCTCCTTCGCTCTACTTCCGCAGCTGCTCCCGCTCGACCTCGTACATGAAGTCAAAGTAAGGCTTGTCGAAGTGGTGCACACGAACGTAACCGTCCTCTCCGCCGGAAGCGTAGGCAGTACCGGCGGGGTGGACGTCGACGGTGTTGAGGGGACCGAAGTGACCTCTGACACGGCCGATCTCGTCCTCGAAGACCTTGTGGTAGAAGCGAGCCTCGAATTTACCCTGGCGGGCGGAGGTGGTGGTGACATCCATGGCGGCCTGACCACCACCCAGAATAACGTAATCCTTCTTGGGCGTGATCGTGGCGCTGTTCAAGGGAGTATCGGCGGGGTAGGTCTTGAGGATGGCGAGGTTACGGGAGGAGATGAGCTGGCAACCGCGTGTTAACAAGCTTGCACGTGTCATGGAGAAATTTAAATAGGACAAAAGGACACTTACCTTGGCAGACTTGTCCTTGGAGGCGGTGATGAAGTGGGTGCGGTCTTGAGAGAATTGGATGTCGTTGATCTGGTGGTCGAACTCGTGGGCCTGGACGTTCTCCAGCTGCTCACCGGTCTGTTTTCCCACATGCCGTGTTAGCAACTCATCTGCCCCGATTCCTCGCCAGTGAAAATATTCGGTCTGCGCACCTTCTCGTCGTACTGGCTGACACTGCCGTCTTCGTGACCAGCAATGATGTACTTGCCCAGATAACTCCAGCCCGCAACGGTGGCCTTGCTCTCCGTGCAGGTGATCCGCAAGCTGGGCTCATCGGCCTGGTCCTCCAAGTTCTCGCCGTAGTTGATATCGAGGACGGCAATGGTACCCAAGAAACCCATACGCTTCTCCGTCACGGCCAAAAGTCTGCTTCCGTCGGGGCTGAACTCGACCCGCTTCACGGCCGTAGGGAAATCCCACACCTTCACGCACTCGCCGGTCTTGACGTTCCATAGTCGCACGGTGTTGTCTGCCGAGCCCGTCGCCAGGAGAACCGTGTTGGGGCTCACATCGACCGTCCAGATAGCACCCTGGTGTCCGTTGTAGGTACCGAGTCTCTCGCCGTTGGCCGACCACCAGGCGCACACAATTTTATCCTTCGACACGGAGAAAAGAAGATCGCCATCGCTGTTGAACTTGATCTGAGTCAGGGCACGTTCCTGCAAGAGTGAAAAATGTCAGCGACCACCATGTTTCCCCATCCTGTTGATCTTCAAGTGTTTTTTGCAGGCGACAGATAAGAGTCTTCCGAGCTGGGAGGGAGGAGGATGGCAAAACGCACATGGCCCGCAAGCAAAATAGGCCTCATCTTGGGCCGACCACGCGATGAATCTGGGGAAAGGCGACGGAATCAAAAGAGCGATGGATCACAGCTGAGGGCGTCTGTGACCGGGAGTCGTATAATACCTGCGTGATGAGGCGGAAATCCTTGCGGGGTGCTGGCGGGCTCACTTCGTCGGCGTCGTCAGGACTAGTTTGAATTTCATCGCACAGTCCGGGCTCGCGCGCCAAGACTTGCCTGATTGAGCCTGTTTTGTCACAGGGTGACCATACCGGAAGATTAGTAGGTCCGGTATTGCTGACTAATGCATCACGTGACATCCACAGCCCTGAGATCTGTCTGCGAATTTGGCTTAGTTTTTCATTCACGTGATGAAAGACAGCCCATACCCCTCCTGGTCTAGACTACGTGCACTAAGCCTAAGGAAGAAACCTCATTGTCACCCCAGCGTCAGCCTGAGGCTCCTGCGGCATTCATCGGGGAAACTTTTCCATGGAAAACAAAGGCAGAAAGAACAGAGCAAACAGTGTCGAAACAGCAAACTCGAGGGTGAATTATGTTGGAAAAAGGACTTCCTTAGAATAATAGTTGCTTTGCTTGACTGGCAGTTTAGAATCTGCTTCTTCACAGTCTTTCATTTTTTAGGCATTCTACGGAGTCTTGGGCTGCCTGATTCGATTATTCAAGGAGTTTATCGGTGGTTTTCGACCTTTTCCCTATCTGCATCTGAGCTGGCCGAGGAAAGCTGCTGTGGCTAAGAGCTGTGACTTGACCCAGCCCAGTCATCCAATGCCGTTTCCCCCCGCCCGTTCGGCTTCGGCGAGTTTACCCCGCTGTGCTGCTGCTGCTGCTGCTGTTGTCAACGCTGAGCGCTTTTATACTCTTTTTCCGATTCAGCTTCACTACCACCCCTTACCTTCCCTCTACCCACGACTGCTCTTCTCTAGACGCGGGGCTAGGTCTTATCTTCGCTGTGCCTCCTCGTCTGCTCATCGCGCCGTGCTAGGTTTCCCGAGGCTCGTCTCCACCCCCTCCTCCTCCTCCTCTTCCCGACGTACCTTCTCGAGCACCCGACCAGCAGCCATGGCAGCTACCAAGATCGATGGCACCCAGATTGCCAAGAACATTCGCGAGGGACTCAAGACTGAGATCCGCCAGATCCAGGAATCCAACCCCAGATTCAAGCCTAGTCTGGTTATCTTTCAGGGTGCGTCATAGCCCCTCACAATCTCTCCGCACCGTGACTGCTTGAGTACTGACTTGGCTTGAAATCTTACAGTGGGCAACCGATCGGATTCCAGTAGGTTTTTTCCTTTGAAATTGGATTAGTGGTGGAGAGTCGCGGACGCTAACGTATTGCCTCAGGCACTTATGTGCGCATGAAGTTGAAGGCTGCCGAGGAGGTATATGCCACCCTGCTCTTACGACTCAGCTTATTTTTATGCTAACGGAACGTCTCATACCAGACAAACATCCTTTGCAAGATCATCAATTTCCCGGAATCTGTTACACAGCCTGAAGTTCTGCAAGAGATCACCAAAGCCAACAATGATCCCTCGGTACACGGTATTCTGGTCCAGCTGCCCCTCCCCAAGCACTTGTCCGAGCACACTATTACCTCCGCTGTCGCGGACGAGAAGGATGTCGACGGTTTCGGTGCTATCAACATTGGAGAATTGGCTAAGCGAGGTGGCCGGCCTCTCTTCCTTCCCTGCACGCCCAAGGCTGTCATGAAGCTTCTGCAGGAAAGCGGCATCGACCCTGCTGGTAAGGAAGCTGTTGTCCTTGGTCGCAGCGATATCGTCGGGAGCCCCGTCAGCTACTTGCTGAAGAATGCTGATGCAACCGTTACCCTGTGCCACTCGAAGACCCCCGATATTGCTAGAATTGTGAAGACTGCCGATATTGTTGTTGCCGCCATTGGACAGACCGAATTTGTCAAGGGGGAGTGGCTCAAGCCCGGCGCCGTTGTTATTGACGTTGGCATCAACTACAAGGCCGATGCTACTCGCAAGTCCGGCCAGCGACTTGTTGGAGATGTCGATTATGAGTCTGCTGTCCAGGTTGCCTCTCAGATCACCCCCGTCCCCGGTGGTGTTGGGCCCATGACTGTGGCCATGCTGCTGGAGAACGTGGTGACTGGGGCCAAGGCCTACTTCGAGAAGCAGAAGGATAGACATATTACTCCCCTTCCCATTAAGTTGGCCAGTCCTGTGCCCTCCGATATCGCCATTTCTCGTGCGCAGTATCCTAAACAGATCACTCAGCTTGCCGAGGAGATTGGCATTGCACCCCATGAGCTCGAACCCTACGGTCACACCAAGGCCAAGGTCAGTCTCTCCGTTTTGGACCGGCTATCTCACCGTCGCGATGGTCGGTACATTTTGGTCTGCGGTATCACTCCCACTCCTCTTGGTGAGGGTAAGTCGACCACCACCCTGGGTCTGTCCCAGGCTCTTGGTGCCCACTTGAACCGCATTGTTTTCGCCAATGTGCGCCAGCCCAGCCAGGGTCCTACATTCGGTATCAAGGGTGGAGCTGCTGGCGGAGGTTACAGTCAGGTTATCCCGATGGATGAGTTCAACCTGCACTTGACTGGCGATATCCACGCCATCACTGCCGCTAACAACCTTCTTGCTGCCGCTATCGAAACCCGCATGTTCCATGAGGCCACCCAGAAGGATGGCGCTCTCTACAAACGCCTGGTTCCTGCCAAGAAGGGCAAGCGCGAGTTCCAGCCTATTATGTACCGGAGACTTAAGAAGTTGGGTATCACCAAGACTAACCCGGACGAACTCACTGAGGAAGAGATCCGCCGCTTCGCTCGCCTTGATATCGACCCGGAGACTATCACTTGGCGCCGTGTTCTGGATGTCAACGACCGTCACCTGCGCGGAATCACCATTGGGCAGGCTCCCACTGAGCGCGGTCTCACGCGCGAAACTGGTTTCGATATCTCGGTCGCCAGTGAGTGTATGGCAATTCTTGCGCTGAGCAACAGTCTCGAAGACATGCGTGAGAGACTGGGACGTATGGTTGTTGCCACTTCGCGAAACGGCGACCCCGTCACTTGCGACGACATTGGTGCGGGTGGTGCTCTCGCAGCTCTTATGAAGGACGCCATCAAGCCCAACCTGATGCAGAGCTTGGAGGGAACTCCTGTTCTGGTTCACGCCGGCCCCTTTGCCAACATCAGCATTGGCGCCAGCTCTGTCATCGCCGACAAATTGGCCTTGAAGCTTGCGGGTACCGAGCCGGATGAGGACCATGATGCTCGCACTGGCTTTGTCGTCACTGAGGCTGGCTTCGATTTCACGATGGGCGGTGAGCGCTTCTTCAACATCAAGTGCCGGTCCTCCGGTCTGTCTCCCGACACCGTGGTCATTGTGGCTACCGTCCGTGCCTTGAAGGTTCACGGTGGCGGCCCTGAGATTACCCCTGGCGCTGCTCTGCCTGAAGTGTACCGCACTGAGAACGTCGACATCTTGCGCAAGGGTTGCATCAACTTGAAGAAGCACATTGAGAACGCTCGTCAGTACGGTGTGCCCGTGGTGGTGGCAATCAACCGTTTCGAGACCGACACGGAGGCCGAGATTGCTGTCATTCGCGAAGAGGCCATTGCGGCAGGAGCGGAGGACGCGGTTCCCGCCAACCACTGGGCCGAGGGCGGAGCCGGTGCGGTGGATCTAGCCAAGAGCGTGCTCGCGTCTAGCTCTAAGCCCAAGGACTTCAAGCTCCTGTATAACTTGGACGGCACCATCCAGGAGCGGATCGAGCGGATTGGTAAGGCTATGTATGGCGCGGAGAAGGTCGAGTTCAGTGAGTTGGCCCAGAAAAAGGTCGACACATACACTGCTCAAGGTTTCGGCAACCTCCCGATTTGCATTGCGAAGACGCAGTACTCGCTCAGTCACGACCCGGCTCTTAAGGGTGCCCCGACTGGCTTCACCGTCCCCATTCGTGACGTTCGATTGGCGGTTGGCGGTGGATATCTGTAAGTTTTCCTCTGTTTAGCTGCGCTGTCATGTGGGCCTCCCACTGAGTGATTTTTAGGTATGCCCTTGCAGCAGACATTCAGACCATTCCGGGTCTGCCTACAGCCCCTGGTTACTTGAATGTGGATATCGATCCCGAGACTGGGGAGATTGACGGTCTCTTCTAGACGGGACGTTGGTATGGGCTGAGGCCCACTTCAGGATCGGAATTGCGATCTCTGTATAGATTTCTTTTTCTGTCATCTTCTTGATATTCATGATTTTGGACGATAAATTTACAACTACGACGGGCGCAGGAGCATTGGAGGGATCAATTATTTCAACATTACAAAAGCGTGGCTCATTCATCAGGGCCGGCGTCCCTCAGCTAGAAGGCTAGAGAATATACTACGCCCTCTTCAACATAATAAAATGGATGTGGATGTGGATATTATTCAGAGTACGAGATCATTATATCATGAAACTATGTAGAATCAGACCAAGTGGAGAGGTATCGGTTCTACTGCGGCTCTGAAGATGATCTTGTCCGGGTAGCATCTAGCCGAGCACGTGTGAATGTACCGAATCCGGAGGCGGGTGAAGGATGGATGAATCAGCTCTGAGCCGGGGAGTGGCAGGCCAAGTCCGGCTAAGCAGCGATTTCGGTGGTTAAAGACCCGGGCGGAGATTTCTCCGTTGTAGGGAGGGGACGGGGGACTTGTTAGAGGAGTAGCCGCGGGAAAAAAGCAAGCGGTTAAGATCGGCTGAGCGGGAGAGGACAACCGTACAGTACAATAGGTAGTGATTTAGTAGTTCAATGGAGGATGCAACGGGATCTCAATAGTACATTGTTGATTCTCACACAGCAAGGGGGAGGACACATTCCTCCTCCTATCTGTCAAGCAATAAAAAGCAAGAATCAGACTAGGTTAGGGAGAGGTGGAAAATCATGGTAGTATTGCCGAGACCCATGAAGCGCATATGATGCGACGACTCACACCCTCTCTGGGCTCTCTCTCTCTCCTCTCCGGGGAAGCTTGCCCAGAGTCCGGCTTCGGCGATGGCCCGGGGAGGGTCATCAACGGTGGGCGGAAAGGGAAATAATGGAGAAATGAATGACTGAACAGTCACAGTCACCAGATGCCGGGGAAGGGCAAAAGGGTTTTTCCTGCTGGGATAAGAGCTGTTGGTTTGCCTGTGCCATCTGACTCTTTTCTTAAATCCCCTCCTGACCATCCTGTTCTTCCTTCTTCCATTTCTTGGGAATCACCTCCAAACCATTTGCCGGGTTCAACCTCCGTTCTGCTCCGTAGTAGATAATCAGTGGAAATCAGTGAATCAGTGAATCAGTGGCCTTGGTAAGTGCAGAGCAAGTTTACTGCCCAGCAAGTTGCAAGTCGCAAGTTGCAGAAGAAGCTCCGGCTTAACGGCAGCTTCCGAACTTCCCCCACTACCACCACCGCCCTCCTTCCATCCGAGCTCTATTCCTCCCTACTCTTCCTCATCTATCCTTATCCCTCGGGTACTCTCGCGAATTCCTTTACCCTAGTTTCCTCCAATTGTCCCTTCTACCGTTACCGAATTGCTAATCCGTGTGGGCAGTTTCCCCGGTTCCTCCCTCATCCCCCCCCCCTTTCCTCCCCAGATATTCGGAACAATTAACTGCGATGTCGTCTATCCGGTTCACTTCCGCTTTGGCGCGCCGTCCCATCGCCGCCGCCGTCGCTGCCCCTCCTCTGTCGGCCCCTCGTCGCTTACTTTCTTCTACCTCTTCCTTTTCTTCTCCTACTTCTTCTTCCTCTTCCTCTCTTGCCTCTGCCCGCTCTCTCAGATCGATTGCATCTGTCTCTCCCCGTGTCTCTACTACTGCTTCTCCCCGCTGGTCCGGTCTTTCTTCCATCAATTTGACTCAATCCCGCACCATGGCTACCGAATTCACCAAGATCAAGGTCAAGAACCCCGTCGTGGAGCTCGACGGTGATGAGGTATGTTGTTCCGGTCTGGTAGGACTTGCATGGGGGTCATTGCATAGCTTTATAGGCTGTGGTACCTCTGCGTCGGAGACAGGCGCGCCATGACGGCAAGGCGCACCTGAAAACGCGGGGCAGCATAGCCGCGGCTGCATTCTCCCATGCGGCCAAGGACCAATCTCTCCGACGATTCAGAGCATTGAAGAGTTCTGGATCGTGTATCGCTTGACATGTGCTAATATTGTTCCTAGATGACCCGTATCATCTGGAAGGAGATCAGAGAGAAGGTGAGTCTGCCTCGGCTGGGCCCTCCGGGGCAATGCTCTTACCCGTGATCTCCCGGAACTGCATGCTAACTTGGACCCGCTTCTATAGTTGATCCTGCCGTAAGTGACAATTCGTTCCGATCCGGAAGTATGAGACAGTCCAATTGAGACATGTGTGTCCAGTTACCTCGATATCGACCTCAAGTACTACGATCTTGTAAGCGCTTTCACCCGAATTATAACCAGTCACCAGCGACTGACATTCTCTTGCAGGGTCTTGAGTACCGTGATCAGACCGACGACAAGGTCACCGTCGAGGCCGCTGAGGCCATCAAGAAGTATGGTGTCGGTGTCAAGTGCGCCACCATCACTCCCGATGAGGCCCGTGTTGAGGAGTTCAAGCTGAAGAAGAGTATGTTGTGATTGTACCACTCGAGACTTCGGAATTAGGCTCGCTAACGAACCTTGTCCTGCAGTGTGGCTGTCCCCCAACGGCACCATCCGTAACATCCTGTAAGTTCTGAGTCACAAACAGGCCCATTCCTACCCTTGTACTGAAGATTCCTCAGCGGCGGTACCGTCTTCCGTGAGCCCATCATCATCCCCGCCATCCCCCGTCTTGTCCCCGGATGGACCAAGCCCATCATCATTGGCCGCCACGCTTTCGGTGACCAGTACCGTGCCACCGACCGCGTCATCCCCGGCCCCGGAAAGCTCGAGCTCGTCTACACCCCTGCCGGCGGTGAGGCTGAGACCATCAATGTCTACGACTTCCAGGGTGGTGGCATTGCCCAGACTCAGTACAACACTGATGAGTCCATCCGCGGATTCGCCCATGCCAGTTTCCAGATGGCCCTGCTCAAGGGTCTTCCTCTGTACATGAGCACCAAGAACACCATCCTGAAGAAGTACGATGGTCGCTTCAAGGACATCTTCCAGGAGATCTACGAGTCTACCTACCAGAAGGACTTCGAGGCCAAGAAGATCTGGTACGAGCACCGTCTCATTGACGACATGGTCGCCCAGATGATCAAGAGCGAGGGTGGCTTCGTCATGGCTCTCAAGAGTGAGTTCTCCGCACTTCATCTCGACGGACGTTACATGTACTAATCAGCTTTCCAGACTACGACGGTGATGTTCAGTCTGATATTGTCGCTCAGGGCTTCGGCTCCCTTGGTCTGATGACCTCCACTCTGGCCACCCCTACCGGTGAGGCTTTCGAGTCTGAGGCTGCCCACGGTACCGTGACTCGTCACTACCGCGAGCACCAGAAGGGCCGTGAGACCTCCACCAACCCCATTGCCTCTATCTTCGCCTGGACCCGTGGTCTGATCCAGCGTGGCAAGGTCGACGAGACCCCCGAGGTTGTGGCCTTCGCTGAGGAGCTCGAGAAGGCTTGCATTGACGTTGTCAACGAGGAGGGTATCATGACCAAGGACTTGGCTCTGGCCTGTGGCCGCAAGGAGCGCGAGGCCTGGGTCACCACCCGCGAGTACATGGCTGCCGTTGAGCGTCGCCTCAAGTCCAACCTTAAGGCTCGCCTGTAAATCCTTTCCTTGTTGCTTTTTTGAATATTGCTTAGCGTGCGGCTCATAAGGCTGGTTTGTGATTTTCTAGTTTTTGGATCGAAGGACGACATACCATGGTGACCATATTGTACAGTTCTGGGCTGGGAAGGAAGGGGCAATTGCACAAGCCCCCTGACCCGAATGCAACTTTCTAGCTGGAGTTTCTCCTGGACATTTGTATAAGCTCTGTCTCCGCGTTGTTCCTACACCTCCCATGTGTGATGATGAAAAATTATGTACATGCCAAACAAATAATGGAATATGCCTGCTGACAATTGCTTGTTCCACTCTGCTCTGCTCTTATTTTTGAGGAAACAGAAATTTCTTGGTTGTTGCAGCTACCAAGTCAAAAGCATCAAATCAATTCGGCCGGACTGGGCGATTCCGGCGATGACCGGCCGCCGAACCATGGATAACACCAGGCGGGAATGAGCTACGATTCACTTTCTTGAGCTTCCCCGCTGGTCCTTGACGCAAGTGAATATGGTTGTTACATGCACATTCTCCCCGCGTTACTGTGGGAGCTCGCCACTGTTGAAATGTTTAAATCTTGGCTTCTTCAACCACTGTACCTATTCCCACACGGCCTCACACGGCCACACACGAGCAGATTCAACGCACGGTAACGCACCGACTGCCACTGGAGACAGAGAGACTCTATGCGGCACTCGCAGTGATCGCGATCATCAAGCGGCACCATGTACGCTGTGCCCATTGCGGTCACCTTCCTCTCCTTGGCGTGCTTGGTGGTCGCGCTGCGTCTGTACACGCGGTTGCATATGGTTCGAACGCCTGGCCTGGATGACCTGCTGATCGTCCTTTCGCTGGTTGGTCCTCCTCTGGCATCTTGCACTGGATGTCTGAGCTAATGTGAAGCACAGGCGGCAGACATCGGGTTCTTCGCTTTCTTGATAGTTGGCACGAGCTCTCCTCATCGATTTTCGCTGGAAGGCCAGAAACTAATATTGAGCAGAGGTCCGCAATGGCTTAGCAGAGAACCAGGAACTTCTCAGTCCGAATACTATACGCAATCAACTCAGGGTAACCCACACACTCACACACACGAACCAGGTAACTGGATATCAACTTCATGGACGAAATCTGATCCGCAGGAATGAATAGGCTCTGTACATCACGATTCCACTCTACAACCTCAGTTTGACCCTGACCAAACTGTCGTTGATCTTCCTCTACAAACGTCTGTTTCCAACGAAGTACTACCAGATCATCCTGGCCGTCACCTTATTCTTCGTCATCGCCACGGGGATGTGGATGGTGTTCAGTGCGATTCTCTTCTGCATTCCCGTTCGGTCCTTCTGGGACACGTCGCTGCCTCGGACCTGTCTCCCAGAGGGCGTCGTATGGTGCCTGAACGCGGGATTCCAGATCTCGACCGACTTGCTGCTGGTCATCTTGCCGATGCCCGTGCTGGCCAAGCTGCAGATCCCCAAACGACAGAAGGTCGCACTGATTCTTATCTTCGCTCTGGGATTTTTGTTCGTCTACCTACCTTTTCTGCTGGTTGTCACCATCACTAATCTGGAACTTTGGAGTTCGTAGTGTATGCGCGATGAGCGTAATCCGGCTCACGACAATCGTCAAACTCATTCGTTCCCCAGACTTTACAGGTATAGTAGTGCCTTCTTTCTGTCCCGGCCATCAAGAGTCGAATTCCTTACTACGTGACGGAAGACCCAACCGAAACTAACTTCTGTGGACCAGAGGGCAACGGCCTCGCCGCAACATGGTCCTTCATCGAATGCAACGTCGCCATCATCTGCGCCTGCCTGCCGCCGCTCCGCCCCTTCATCATCCGCTTCTTCCCGCGCCTGATGCCCTCCCGCGCGCGCTCCTACCACCCGCGCGAGAAACCCTCCCGCCCCAGCGGCGGTGTCAGCATCGTCAGCCACGGGCACGGCAACCCCTTCGCGCCGTCCAGCACGAGCTACGTCACCAGCGTCGCGGGCACGTTCTCGATGGAGAGTCTGAGTCTGGGGGCGCAGCATCCGCAACCTGCGGACGCAGCAGCAGCGCATGGGATTCAGATTGTGCAGGAGCTGCGGTGGGATTCGTTTGCGGCGGAGGAGCGGCGGAAGTCCGTGCGGTTTGATGGGCTTGATCCGGTCACGGGGGTATGATCTGTTATGCCGTCGGTTTCTTGGAGTAGTTGTCATGGAATGGAGTTGGTTTATGGGTTGGTTCGATGATACCATTTTTTCCTGACGGGATTGAGGGGCTTGGTTGGTTCATGCGCAGGGAGTGAACTTGGGTGATGAGGTCTAGACTTATTTCTCTCTAATATTGGGAATCGGGGTGGGATGGTGGAAGTGGAACAAAGGCTCATAGATGCTTTACGGTAGATGTGCATTGGAACGGTTTGCTAGAGGCCGTCGTCGTTGACCGTCCACTAATCCAGAGGATTTCTCGGTGGCCTCAGACCTGGTAACTCTGTCCTTTCGGGCGTAGGCACACACACACTCTGATGCAATCGAATCCAGTCTGCGTTGGTGGAGGTTCACCGCTTGAGTTCCGTTAGGACATCTGATCTCTCGCAGATGATTGACGACCTCCATCTGGCTTCACCCCAAGATCAACTGTATATCCGCCATCTGCACCGCAAACATATCCCAACCCTATCCAATCCAAGAAACACCGCCTGTCCCCTCCCCAAATAGACAAAAGAAACCAACCCATATCTCAAGAGCAAGCATGCCAGCAAAAGTCCAATCAACCCCCTTTCCTACAGTGCCTCATCTTCCACCTAAACTTTCACTTCAATCTTACAGAAGAGAGTTCCCGCTAATGCAAGGACCCAGAGAAACCCCCTACACTGTCTGCATTTGGATGTGCAGTACGCAGTACAGCATGTAGGTAGGTAGGTACCCGATAGTCCAGTCCAGTCCATCCCGCAACACCGTTTGATTACGATCCGCAGGGTCTAGATTTTGAGGTGACCTGTTGCAGAAAGGAAGATGGAAACGAAATTGATTCACTAGTGAGACCCAGGCCTAGGCCAATTGAGAATGCTTATAAGGATCGACGGGGTTTATACTCTCTCGACTCCCGGAAAGTTTACTCCGTAGTTCGGACCGGAGGGGGAAGAGAGAGAGCTTGGCGGATAGGCTTAAGCTTAGGCTTGGATTGAATTGAATTGAATTTACCCGGCCGGGGGGCCTCGGGGAGCCGTTGAGGGTCGGGCGGTGTGTGGCTAGCTAGCTTGGCTGCGGCGGTAGTTAGTGGATTCTGCCTCCATCTACGTACGGGGTCATCAACAACACTTCATACAACTGCACCGACTTACATATATCAATGTCCATCTACTGACCATCCCGATAACAACACCCCTCATCACTAGCCCACTCACCCTGAATCTCAATATCCACAACCCAGCGAAACCAAAGATGTCCTCCTCCCCAATCCTCCACCTAACCAGCTCCATCCAGATCCACGCCCCCCTCGACACCGTCTGGTCCGCCCTCACAGACACCACCACCTGGGCCGAATGGAACCGCTTCGTGCCCGCCGTGACGATCCGCGAGCAGCCTTCTCCCCCTTCTCCCCTTGATGATGATGATCACCCTACACCCACAACCACAACCACACCCGCACCAGAAACAGAAACATCTCCTCCCACCATCGCTCAACCCTCCCAAACACCAACACCACCAACTGCTGCTGCTGCTGGTGGGGGTAGTGGTGGTACACTCCAAAAAGGCACCCGCATGACCTTCCACGTGAACATGCACCCCGCCGCCGCGTCCACGGCGCCGCAGTCTTTTCAGAATGTGGATAACCATGTCGGTCTCGTGGTGACGGAGGTCCTTCCGCCTTCGCCTGCTTCACACCCAGATAGCCAAGGGAAGGATGGGGATGGTAGTCCCGGGTCTACTTCTACAGCTACACCTACGGCAACCCGCCGAGCAAGAATCACCTGGGCGAACGATACCGCCTTCCAGGGCCGGGTGATGGCCGCGCTTCTGTCGGCGGAGAGGGTGCATGAGCTGGTGGAGCGGGAGGTTGTGGATGCCTCCTCTGGAAGTGTGAGGGTGGTGACGGAGGTGACGAATTGGGAGGTGCAGGAGGGGTATCTGGCGTATGTGGTCAAGTGGATGTTTGGGCGCCGGTTGGAGGAGAATTTCCGGTGCTGGGTGGAGGATTTGAAGGGTTTCGTGGAGCAGCAGCAGCAGGGGAAGATGGGTTTGGGGGGCGATGGGGATGCTTGAGGTGGTGTGGGGTGATATGAGGTGAAGGTGAAGGTGATCGGGGAGCGAGATGGTAAGTACGTCTTAGGGTAAGTGGGTAGGTAGGTATGTGGTAGGTTTTGTATATCAGGAACAGGGTCTGTAAAAGGCGCTCTGGGATACTTGACTTGGATGCTTGTCTGTGGTGACATCATGCTTGAAATCGGGCGGGTATACGTTTTGTCCTTGCTCTGTGGATGGTTGTTGAGCTCCAGGCTCCAACTTCTGCTCCAGCTGCAACTCCATCTCTCCCGGACATCCGTAAAGGTGGGGATAAACTGGCCAATGCAGCTTCCTGGCTGGTCCAAGCGGTCGACCAATTCGTATACTAATTCAACTACCACGATAGCACGGCGTCTAGTAATGCTATACGAAGTAAGCTTTGATTAAATCATATTATATCAGTTGAACCCTACCTCGTATTTGCTTGTTTACGACCAGCCCCCCCTGCTGTTCCAAAAATTTCTACTATCATCTCCGATGTCGCGTCATTTGCTGGCATGCCCTCACTACGCTGCGCTTGACCACGCTATAAATGCAGCTGGGCAGGGAAATCTGGAAAGTCACTCACGCAGATCTCTCCCTTCCCTGTCCTTCCACAAAACAAGAAAACCACCATGTCCGGCAGCTCCACCCTCCTAGCGGCCCTTGCTGGCCGACGCTCCTACTACGCCCTACGTCGCGAATCCCCCATCCCTGACTCCAAGATCCAATCGATTCTCAATCAGATCGTGCTGCAGACCCCCTCTGCCTTCAACTCTCAGACCACACGCATCCTGGTCCTGCTGAAACAGGAGCACGACAAGCTATGGGACATCGTCAAGGACTCCCTGCTCACTCGCATCGGGGCTGAGCGGTACCAGAAGACTGCGCCCAAGATCGACGGCTTCCGCGCCGCTTACGGCACGGTGCTCTTCTATGAGGATCAGACCGTGGTCGCAGACCATAAGGCCAAGTTCGCATCGTATGCGGAACACTTTGAGGCCTGGTCGGAACAGACCAGCGGCATGCATCAGTTGATTGCGTGGACGGCGCTCGAGACGGAAGGGTTTGGCGCCAACTTGCAACACTACAACCCCATCATCGACGATAAGGTCGCGAGCACCTTCGAGGTGCCTGCGCAGTGGAAGCTGCGGGCGCAATTGGTGTTTGGCGTGCCGGAGGGCGGACCACCACCGCCCAAGGAGAAGAAGCCCTTGGAGGAGCTCATTCGCGTGGTGGGAAATGACAGTAAATGAGGGGCAGCTCAACTGTGATGACTCGAAAGGGATCTATTTTTGGCGTGCGTCGAGGCGGGGTATCGGGGCATTGGGGCTTATCTGGTGTAAATAGTGTCCGTCATCCATAGACTTACTCTAGAGAAGGCAACGGGACGATCAGGAATGCAACTGATTTGATGGTTGAGAGTGTGATATGCTCGAGTAGCTATCGCAGACATGGGGTTGGCGACCGTTAGCCTTGGCATGGGGCTGTGTTCCCGTAGATCTGGATTGCGGTGCTCTCTGTCCGAAAGCCACAAGTGACTTGTAAGTTGTAACCGAACCAGAGTGCGCGATGCGCCATCGTGGTTGCTTGTTACTCCATCCCTGCTGCGGCAAAAGGCCGCCAATTCTCCTTGAGGCGAAACTCGTCTGGTGATCTGGGAGCGTCTAACTTACGTATTGTATATCGGGGACAGGAAAGATATGGATTGATTTTTTTAAGTGTCTGCTGGAATCAGTGCGTGGCCTTGACACCACATCGGTCGGTCTTGCGGCCGAGATTGGTTTGGACCAATACCCTGAGTATCGCATTTTGAGCGAGATCACAGGCAGTGGAACAGTGGATACAGTTCGATGGCGGGCATGAATCTCTCCGGGCCAGGTCGTTCTGCTTCCCCATTGTTTTTGGTGACCCAGAAAACAAGTCCGCCCAACCTACCGTGTTGGGAAGGGCGGGTGGAGCGCGTTTAATGGCGGCCAATTTCCATGAGTCCATGGCAGATGAGGACCCACGTGGGGGTGGAGATTGGCTGTCGAAGCCGACCACTTCCATTGATCATTCGGCGGCAATAGACAGGCCTCGAACGGAGGGATGGGTCGGGTGGTCGCAAGGAGATACTGGATGGGGAGGGAAGGAAGTCATTTGTCTCCTCTTTCTCTTCGAAGGCTCATATGAAATCTTGTAAGCACACGACTGCCGGGGAAGGCACTGTGCAGATGCGCGGTAGGGACGGAGATTGGATGGTCTGCAGGTGAGAGGGTAGCGTGCAGAGGATAGAGCAGTCGGAGGTCGAAGCGCAGGCCGGGGGGCGTCGAGATAAGATCCCTGGGTTGGGCCGAATGGAAACAAGCAAGCACTGATACTGGTCGGACACTATTAACGATACTATTGGAACAATCGTTCAACCATTCGGATCCTTCCTCCTGTCATTGTCATGCGGGCTTTTGGTCTGCTTTTATGCCACCGTTCCCGACGAGTAGACTAGTGCAATTGTCGCAGGTTCAAGGGTGTTCGTCATGGCGTCTGCGGTGGAAAGCCGAAAAAGAAAGGGATCAGCAGCAGATGAATAATAAAAAAGCGAAGCATTGAGGAGGGAAGGAGGAGATTTGACAGCGGTTCAAGGTGGAGTGGAGAGGGAGAGGGAGAGGGAATGAGGACGGACGAACTGCACGAAATGCTCCCTCTTCGTCTCCACCGGATTTACCCAATCCAGCCAGCCGTCGAATCCGAATGAGGTATAGTGTCCGTGGATGTACTTCTCCTGGTCGTTTTTTTCGGTCATTTTCGGTCTTTTTCCGTTCATTGTTCGATACTCACGGCCACTTCCGGTGGCCTCCAGCAGGAGTCCAGGTACAAATGAGGTACAGTCTCGTATTCTGAGTTGATCCTCGGAACGGAGTAGTTCAAAACTCATCTTCATACCTAGAAGAGTGAAGACTGAAGAGAGTGAATTCCCAACTTCTCCATACTCTATAGTTATCCCGAGTCACACAGCACAGTCTGCAACAATTGCGGGAAAAATAGACCCAATAGACCCAATAGACCCAATAGAACCATGTGGGGAGCCGGACCCTCTCGACTTCTTTACGCCTTTTCGTCTTTTTCTCTTAGTCTACTTTATCTCTATGTGACGGTAACGGTAGCAGTTGCAATCCAATCAATCAATCAACCAATCTATCTATTGTCGAGGGACGCGCGGTGACAGAGGAATCGATTGACTCTGCCTCGTCTGTTGCGGCCATGGTTCTGCCATCACAATTAAGCTCCTTCTTTCCCCGGTCGATCCTCTCTTTTTTTTTTTTCCCTTTCCCTTGACTTCCTACGAATAATAATAATATTAATTTGCTTCTCTTCTTTTTCTTTTCTTTTGCCTCTTGAACTTATTTTCCTCTTCTCTCTTCTCTCTATCCAATTCCCATTTTCCCTCAGTCCTTCATTCCTCCGATGATGCCTATCCAACCTCCTTCGAATCAATCCTTGCAATTACTTGACTTCCTCTGATCGCCAACACTTGATGCTAAAGTGACTCATTCCGTAAACTTCTCCTTGGAATCATTCCAACAGTTCTTCATTTGACTTTCCTTGGACCCCCCGACGTCATCTCGACGAGATCGCCACCAGTCATCTTCCGCCAAATCTATAGCACTGCAGCCTATAACTTCTCCATCAGCCCCATCTCTGCAGTATCTGCAGAACTATACAAGAAGAGGGTCTTCCTCTTATCTATCTACCACCGACTCTCTCCTGATTCTACACCGAAGCTATATATACACTCAACATTTCCTCAAGTTTCCCCCATCTGGCGGGTTCAGATAGTGATCCATCCGAGCCGCCGCTTTTGCCGGATCCTTCGCATTCGGATCTCTGCCTCTTCAACTGCGACCACAGAAGAAAAGCTCACTAAAGATTATTTCGTCATGGCGATCACGCACATGCCTGTTCGGCTTTCCGTGCGTACTCAGCATGAGTGTGAACATACTCCTCACTCGACCGTGCTGCGTGGACTTACTCCCCCGGTAACGCCCACCATCGACGATGACAGTCTCTCCGGCAGCGAGGTTACCGTGCATTCCAATACCTCCAGCCCCTTTCTCTCCCCGGTGGATGCCAAACCGGAGAAACTTGACGAGGAAATCTCCGATACCAAGCACTTTACCGACGATCTCGAGTACCACTACGACCCGAAGGGACGCGCGGTCGAATTTGGCCGTGGCGTCTGGAGCGTTGTGTACAAAGCGTCCTCTTTTCCCGCCGTCAAATCGGGTTTTTTGACCCCTCCGAGTTCCCCAGCCGTCAAAGGCCGGGTGGTGGCTGTCAAGTCGCCTGTGAGGCGGGATGCGCATTCCGTCCTTGATGCTGAAGCCCGCGCATTGACCCGGATCAGCCGCATAGCAGGCGCGGAGAACCATGTCGTGCCCTTCCATGGGTACATCTCCGAGTCGCATTCCATTGTCATGTCCGCCGTGCCGCTGGCGCTGTCGACCTACCTTCAGGACAAGGCCGCCATCGCACAAAAGACCCGATCCACGCAGACCATGTTCGACCCGGTTCAAGGCATGGCCCATTGGCACGTCTTGGCCGAAAAGCTCATTGCTGGCTTGGCCTGGCTGCACAGTGGTCCGCAGATGGTGCATGGTGATATCAAACCCCACAATATCCTGCTGCGATTACGTTCACCCAGTGGCCAGGATCTCGACTTGGAGTCGGACTCATTCCCATACGAGCCGCTCTTTGCCGATTTTTCGTCTGCGCACCCGATTGCCAGCCCCTCCTCACCCGAACAGTGCAGCATGGGCACAGCCCTAACCGCGCTCACGCCGCCATTCGCGGCCCCGGAATTACTCTGTGTCTCCTCCTTGACGTCACCGGACGTCGCGCCCACTCCCGAATCTGATGTCTTTTCCCTTGCCGTCAGTCTTCTCGCCGCAGCCACTGGCGATCTTCTTCTCTACCCAGGTGCCAGCAATTTGCAGCGCCTGGCCATGGCTCGCGAGGGCCATCGGGTGATCGACTTCGCCCGCTCGGGCCCTAATGGTTCGCGCGTTCCTCGCGCGGGAATTGTCGAGCAGATTATTAAGCCTGCCATCGCCAAGGATCCGAGTCAGCGCATCCACCCGGATGACTGGCTGCACCTCACTGAATCCGTTCACTGATGATGCCTCGGTCACATCCTCCATCGGACAACCGTCATCTTCATCGGTCTTTTTCAATGGACCGCCGGTCATTTCTTGATTCTCTTCGGCCATTCTTACTTTTTCCCTTTCATTTTCACTCTTCTCTTTCTTCTTCCTTTGACTTGTTGACTTGGCCAGATAACCTTCTTCACTTCTCTTCTTCTGCCATACTTCCTTCCTCAACATTTTCCCCCACTTCTTCCCTTCGCGGCATTTTCACCAGCGCCTACGATCGTCCTAATCTCTTTCCACTTTCTATTCGACCATACAAACTATAAAAGATACCCTGTTTTAGATTTTAGATTCGCAAGGTCGACGATACATTCCGATCTTCGCGCCAACTTTTTTTTGGTTCTCTTTTTTTATATTACCTTCACCTATTATTGGCAGCTCTTGGTTCTTCGGGTACCCTGTTCCCATCATTCGCTAATATGTACTATTCATGATTCCATCTTGTCTATGGAAATATACTTCCCCTCGCGGAGGGGTCGCTTTTTCGATTCCTTTTCTCTATTGGTATTGTAGTCTAATTCTATGAGGTGGCGATGCCAAGTCGTCATTTTGTACAAAAGCCCGTTCTTCCATGCCAGTCACCCCCCGTTGGAGGCTGCTGTGCAGTGCGGACCGCGACAACATTTATAGACCGTAGCCACAACAGTATATAGATGCGTAGATTCACTGGGCTGATATATCTATCACCGGTAAATAGGAAACCATATATAGAGAAATCTAGCGGGTGTGGTGATCCGCCTAGTCTCTGCAAGGTGCTGCTCCCCAGCCAGCCCGCCTGGGGCCGGGTGAGGGGCAACTCGAGTCTGCCTGCGTCCTCCGGACACAAGCCGGAGAAGACCTTTCGGCCATTATCCCTAATCTTGAAAATTAGATTTCCACGGCAAGTTCTTGGTTTGTGCGGAACGAAAGCCCGCAGAGTTCCGAGAGCATTCAGGTTTTGCTCTGGAGTCGATTGTGGGTTGGATTATGTTTTGAGAAAGGCGAGAGTGTCGATGAGGGGAGAATGATCTTTTCTCGTAAGAATGAAGAGATCCCATGTCAAGTATATCCACCAAAGGTATGCCGCGGGCCAATCGGTCGACCAGGTTCGGGGATGGTGTGGTGACGGGTCGAGAAGATATTTATACAGTATAGTATACAAGGGATCGATGTGTGAGGGTCCGCAATAGTCGCAATACCTCTTGCTCGCGTACTCTCTTTTTCTTTATTTTGTTGGTTGATCTTCGTTGGTGCTTTTCTATTTCCCAGACGCTGCAAGAGCGAACTCAGTTGAGCCTCTTGCCCTTGGTAAGATGAGCCCCCAGTCGGGAACCCGTCAATGTGGCGCCGAGGGCGCGAGCGAGCGACCGGATCGACTGACGGTGTTCGTAGTGCGAGTACTCGATGCAGATGTCCCATAGCACCGGGCAAGGGATGATGTGCACGCGCACGTCGCTGACGTCGTAGTCAAGGTTCTCCTGGAAGCACATGGCGGGGTCCAGCTGCTGCTGCGCCGCGGCGCCGTTGTTGTCGGCGGCGCCGGCGCCGGCGCCGGCACTGGGTTCGGCGATGAGGGTCTTGGGCAGGGCGTCGAAATCCGGCTTCGGGGTGCGGACGGTGTGCTGCACCAGGCCGGGGATCGCGCGCACGCAGTCATTGATTGATCGGCCGGGGAACACCAATGGTAGCATCTCGCCGAGGGTGAGATCGGTGCGGCCGCGATACAGGGAGAGGGTGAGGATTTCGAAGAGGTCGGCGGCGGTGGCGCGCGTCGCGGGGTCAAGGGAGAAGAGTTTGCGCGCCACGGGCGAGTTCGGGTCCGGTTCGAAATAGAGGATGCTGCGCTTTTCGTCCCGCGGGTACGTCTCGTTGTCCTGCATGCGTAGCGGCTCAAAGGGCCGGCGGTCCCAGTGCAGTAGGGCCGCCCTGTCGTCGGAAGCCCGGGAGCGCATGTCGTCTAGCGTATGTCGTAGCGAGGGCCGCCATTTGGTCTGGACTTTTTTGTAATCGGCGTCGATGACTTGCTTCAAGGAGGCGATTTCAGAAAGGAGCGGCTCGAAGTCGGCGCGCGTGGTTGTCGGGCGCGCGGCCAAGCGGGCCACGCTCTTGTACAGCTCATCCAGCTGCATCAATTTCTCGACAATGAGTCTGTTGAGGCCGTTCGCTCGGTGTTCTGAGTTGATCCGAGTGATTGCGCGACCGCGGACCTTTCTGGCTGCTTTGTAATCCGGCGAACTCGGTGACATCTTGTCAATCCTTTCGATTTCCTCCAGCAGCTGCGAATGGAGCTCGCTCCGAATGCGGGGCTCGTAGCGATGCTTTTCGGGGTCACGAGAAAGATGGGAGAAGTCCGGCGTGGGGGTTATAGGGGATGGCTCACGGCCCGGAATAGGCAGGAAACCGTTGGCCGATGCTTGTTCTGTGACACGGATGCGTTCCTCTTCAGCGTACTTGACACCCTTTACGTTGGCCCAAAAGCAAAGCTCGTCGTGTGTGGCAACCGTGACGTTGTGCAAAGCGACGTTCTCAGTCAAAATCGCGGCGCGTTTGCGGTCGCCGGGCTCGTGGGGGATTACGCCGCTAGAATCATCCTGAGGCAGTACAGCCAACAGGCGGACGGCACCGTATGAGTGCAAGCCTTTTTGCCATAGACAGGCTTCCATAAAGGAAGAGATCCATCGGGTTGTAGTCATGTGGTCTTTCGGCGAGGGCGGGCGCGTCAAGTTGGCGACCACCAGCAAGTTGGAATTGCAAGGTAGTGCCCCGCTGGTATCGGCATTCTCAGGACCCTGCTCAGGAAAATGTTCTTTCAAAAGCTCATCCCAGGCGGAGAAGGAACGAGGGTTTGTGTCAAGCAATTTGTAGCCCTCTCCCGCCTCGGTTAGAGGCTCCAGGAACTTTTGCCAGAGTTTTAAGTCCGGCTCCAACATAACATGTCGGCGCGGACGAAGGAACTCGTTGACTTTCGATGAGAAGAGTCCGCAACCTGGCCATAGGTCGAGAATATCCGTGGGTGCATTGCGGCGAAGGAAAGGTGCGAGGCGCTGCATAACGTGGACTAGAAACACTCCATGATTAGCGCCGACTGGTACCTTACGGGTCGAGTGAAGGCGCAACTAACCACCAAGCTCTTCACTGACTATTTCCGGCCTCATCACTTGGCGTTTCAATCGATTCTTATGGAGATGATCGAAAATAGCAGTAGCCATGGGAAAGTTAGAGTCAGGGATCCATCGCTCTCCTCTCACCGACGAAATTTTCGCAGTTCGTCTTGCACCCATTGCCACCGACTCGACCGGGAATTTTGTCGCCATTTTCGAAGGTGTTAAGGCGATAGTAGCACAAGTGCCTAAGCCGAGTGCTCATCGCCAGAATGGGCGTAACGATGCTGGTTGTGAAAGTGGAGGGAGGTTATGCAGAGCAGGGACAAAAAGAGTGAAGAGTGAAGAGTGAAGAGTGAAGAGTGAAGAGTGAAGAGCGCGGGCGTGATTTGTAGAAGTGCGGCGGAGGTTCCGCTCGCCGCAGCTTTAAGCTCCTCACCCACTAATCTCCTCCGGCATTCACGCCGCTGCCTCTTCCGCCTCTCCTCCTCTATCCCTCCCTCCAAACATCCTTCTGTGGCAACCGAGCCGGAAGGAGTATGAACCACAATCCGGATCATTTCTCCAAAGCTCAACCACTCGTTGACCCTCGTTTATTGTAATACCAAGGACAGACGCTCGGTCAAGATGACCGCTCATCTGCCCCCAACAGCCGGTGCGGGGGTTTCACCTCCACAGAGCGTCGAGTCGATCACTCGCTTGGCTCAGGATTACGAATACAACCCTTCCATTCCCTTACGGTACTGGCTACGGACAGCCTCGACACTCATTAGAGAGGTACGGTATTCTTTTGACTATGCTAGCGCCGAACTAATACTAACACAACCTCCCCCCGTTGTTGGCAGGCTCGCATCTACGAACGAGAACAACATGAGGAACAAGCGTACCTTCTACTGTTTAGACATGCTCAGCTCGTGCTGGTTCATCTAGCTGAGCATCCGGAGGCCAAGGATGAGAGTAATCGCAAAGCCTTGGTGGAGGCGGAGAAACAGGTCAAACGAAACCTGAAGGTTCTCGAGACCCTGAAGCCTCGCATAACCAAACGCTACGAACGTTACCTCCAGTTGATGCGCGAACGGCAACACCGCGCCTCGGTCACAGCCGTCCCTGCATCTCCAGACATTCGGCGACAACTGCCCCAAGATCCTGCGCTAGCCGGTGTTGCAAAGCCCTTGGAGGCTGGAGAGAATCGCGACCTGGCCGTGAAGCTGGCCCGCACGGAGATCAGTCGCAGAGCCACGGTTCGCAAGGCCATACGCCAGGCTGGTATTTCTCCAGAGGAGGAGCAGACTCGTCGTGCAGCCGGAGTCTGGGGTGATTGGGAACATGCTTTACGCAAGGATGCTGACGATGACTTGAGCCAACGGATTCACAATGTGCGACTGAGGATGGAGGGTGGTCCGCAGGCGGAGCTTTCTGCGCCGGGTAACAATAAACATACAACGTCGTCCCGTCCAGCTGCACCAGGCAGCAGCGCGACCTACAAATATCCGAGTGTTCCCCGTCAACGGCCTGCTGATATTGCCTCCACCTCCGTTCAAAAAGAGCTGCATGGTCTCTTTCCGCCTGCTCCAGGGGTCCCCGCACTGCCCCCTAAAGAACTGCCCCAGGACCATGGACTGGACGAAAGGTCAGCGCCTCCGCCTCGTCCGGATAAGCGCTCTCCAATTTCCACACCGGCATTGGCACCGGCAGTTCCTGCCAAGGTACGGCCAAAGTCGGATAGTGAGACGCGCACCGACCTAGATCCGTCCAGCTTCACTTTCAAGCCGTCTGCCTACCTGGAAAATGGCACGCCATTGCGGACTTTGTTCCTCCCGCCCGAGCTACGGACACATTTCCTGTCCCTGGCCGCACCGAATACACAACGCAACCTGGAGACATGTGGGATACTGTGCGGTACATTGATCTCGAATGCCTTATTCGTGTCGCGGCTTTTGATCCCAGAGCAGACCGCCACGTCAGATACGTGTGAGACAGTGAACGAGACAGCCATCTTCGACTATTGTGACTCGGAGGATCTAATGGTGCTGGGCTGGATTCACACACACCCAACCCAGACATGTTTCATGAGCTCACGCGATCTACACACCCATTGTGGATACCAGGTAATGCTTCCGGAGAGCATAGCGATCGTATGCGCGCCGAGTAAGATGCCAGACTGGGGTGTTTTCCGATTGACCGACCCCCCGGGATTGAAGACAGTGCTTAATTGCACGCAGCCGGGCTTGTTCCATCCTCATGGGGAGGCCAATATCTATACTGACGCTCTTCGCCCTGGGCACGTGTTTGAAGCCAAGGGCTTGGAGTTCGAGACCGTCGATCTGCGTCCCAATGGGTCCAACTTTTAAGATGCATCATCTAGCGAATAAGCCTATATTGAAGAAGTTTGAGTTTTCAAAGATACATTGTTTAGGAGTGTTGTGGTTGGGTGCCGATCGTCGGCCTGTAAGATTGAGACCCAGCCCAGATAGGCTAGTTTAGTGTCTTGCAGTGGCAGTGGCAGCCCGGGCCCAGCCGACTTGTTGTCATCGAACTCATCCTCCATGGGCTCTTACACAAGAGCACGTGTATCCACGATGCCAGCGTCGGATTTACGCAACGGCGGTTTTGTCTCGGTCGGGACTCACCACCTTTTCGCCACGCTGAGCGGCATTTCTCGGATTGCTGGGCACCCGCTCGTGATTTTTATCCCTGGCGCGGGGGATGTGGCTTCGTCCTACTGCGCCGTCGCACGCCGAATCGGCACCTTTGCGACGCTCCTGTTATACGACCGGGGTGGACTAGGCCGCAGCGAAGGTGGTCCAGATTTAGTGCTTCATCGCGCCACTACGGCCGCCGAAGAACTGCACACACTACTTGATCAGGCGCAGCTGTCACCTCCCTATCTTGTTGTCGGACATTCCTATGGCGCGATCATCGCACGCGAATTCCTTCATCTCAATCCTCGAGCAGTGGCTGGTATGGTCCTTGCGGATGGCTCGACAGAACGGCAGCCTGAGCTCTTGCAAGATCCCGACCTTGATGTTTCTGCGGTGCAGGGCGGATTGAATTTTGCACAGGTAACTGGTCTGCGGGTCAACGCGCAGTTGTCGCGGGAGGAGTGGCGGACGCGGGCAAAGGATATTGCTCGCGGGCAGCAAACCTGGGCAGCCGAGGCCAATGCTTTAGTAGAGCTGTGTCAGACACTGGGGGTGAAAGAGCAGTATCGACACCAAGCATTAGGGGAGAAGCCGCTGTCGGTGATTCGGTGTCGTGGGTCGCTGGACTATCGAAAGATCTACGAAGCGGGTGTGGCTGCGGGCAATGGTAGTGAAGCACAGCAGAAAGCATTTGAGCGCCTGCTGGAGCGCTGGGATGGGTTGGATCAAGCGATGCAAGAGGACCAGCTGCACTTGTCGAGTCGAAGCCGCCTGGTGTATTTGGAAGACTGTGGGCATCATGTCCATTTGTTGCGACCGGAAGTGGTCGCTGACGAAGTAGGATGGGTGCTAGGCATGATCATAGGAGAGCAGAATTGGCGAGTTTAATCTTCACTTGGTAATTTTGCGCGTAATGCTGGTGGTGAGTGACTGATGAGGTGATGGTGAAAGTGTGTCATGTTGATCAAGACAATCGGACAATCGGATCTAACAGAGGTTTGACTGTCAGCCAGCTGTCTCGCCTTCGCTTGAGAATAGTTCCCTTCACCCATCTACTTCTTGCCACTCAGATCTAGTTGCAACTTGAGCAGGATCATTATCAGATGCTTCATACTTCGTCCGGTGCTTGCCGCGTGGAATAGTCAAAATACACTATTCCTGATCTGGCATCCCCAGGCTTGGCATTGCTTGTCGCATTTCATCTTCTCATCTTCTCTCTTCTTCACTTGTCTTCTCCAATACTCGTCCTTTTCTCCCTCTTTCCATCCGACATTGCTATCCTGGCTGAGCCTTGAGACTTAGCATCTCCGAAACCTCTCCACTCTTCGTCGGGCTGCTATAATTTGCGCTTTTTTCCTAAGAACTCGCCTGCCCGCATCGCTCAAGTCGCTTGTCGCTTCCTTGCAGCTAGACGAGTCCCGCTTCGTGCGACCGCCTGAGTGAGTTCGTCCCCTGTTTCTACACCTCGATTCCTCCTACGTGTATGAACCTAGGCGGCTTCAAGCTTTGCTTTTGGTCGACAGCTGGCGTCAAGACTGTACGGTGGTCACAACCGGTGCCCCCGCTTCCCCTGCACGTGCTCTATTTGTCGAAGTGGACGGTGTCTGGAGACCGAGGTTGCCATGCCATAATGTCGTCTGTACGATGTGAACTGGTTGTTACTTCGAGGAGCAGCGAGCTCGGGTCGCCTCTCACAGAGCTATGAAGGCCTGTCACTGACCAGGAACAGAAGTCTAAAGGCACCTTCCCATAACTACTACCCTCCGTTATACCTACCGCCCACCATGCCGATGGACGCGAAGGAGATCGAACTCAAGGCCAAGGCTCTGACCAAGGCGGCCACCCAGAACGAGCCGCCCGCCAATATCGTTGCCCTGCTCAAGGAACTACAACAAGGCGTCCGAGCGACGGAGGATCTGCTGCGCTCGACGCGCGTGGGGATCATCGTCAACAAGTTCAAGCAGCACAAGGCGCCCGAGGTGGCGCGCCTGTCGAGCGAGATCGTATCGAAGTGGCGCAACGAGGTCAACAAGCAGAAGGCGGGCGCATCGCCGGGCCCCAGCCAGCGCTCGAGCAGCTCGCCGCGGCCGACCCCGAACGGCACCGCGGCCTCGACGCCCTCGGATAAGGCCTCGAAGCTGTCCGTGCCGCCGGACAAGCGCACGTGGAAGGCCGACGGGGTGGACGTGAACCAGACCTCCAACCGGATCCGCGACAGCTGCATCGGCCTGATGTACGACGGGCTGTGCTTCAACGCGACGGAGGCGCCACGGACGGTGCTGGCCAAGGCCTCGAACGTGGAGGCGGCGGCTTTCAGCGCCTTCGGGCCGGAGACCAAGGAGCAGTACCGCACCAAGATCCGCAGTCTGTACCAGAACCTGAAGAACAAGTCGAACCCGATGCTGCGCGTGCGGGTCCTGAGCGGGGAGGTCACGGCCGAGCACTTTGTCAAGATGACGCACGACGAGCTGCGGTCGGCGGAGCAGCAGGAGCGCGACCGCAAGATCCAGAAGGAGAACATGGACAAGGCGATGGTGGCGCAGGCGGAGCGCAGCATCAGTACCAGTCTGCAGTGTGGAAAGTGTGGGCAGCGCAAGGTGACCTATACCGAGGCGCAGACGCGCAGTGCCGATGAACCGATGACGTTGTTCTGTACTTGTATGAATTGTGGAAAATCATGGCGGCAGTGACTCCTTTGTGTATTTTCTCATTCTGATATTACTTTTTTGTTCTATATCTTACCTGCGGCAGGGGGGCGGCGGCGTGGAGTTATTTTACCTTGGGCTGATCAAAAACATGGATGTTTTTCCTGTCGTTATTGACATTCGGCGACTGCTTATGTCATCGTTCATAACTTGACTGCATAGACTGCACTGGCAATCGCAATCAACGTCATTCACCTTTCATCATTGAGCTGGAACAAGTAGTGAGTTGAAATACTTCTTCGCATCAGCTCGAAAATCAAATCAAACATCCTTCTCATCATCTTCAACAACTTGAACAAGCTACCCAGCCAGCCTAACATCCAATTGACCCTTCCATTCCACACCAGCTACCTAGTACCTACCTAGCTGAACGCTATACAACCTTACCATCAACCATCCATCCAACACCTTTCCAAGCAACAACCACACCCACAAATCCAAACCTTGTCCCCTCCCTCTCTCTCTCCCCAATCAAACCAACCCAACCCACCCCAAAATGCCCTCCCCCTCCTCAGAAGAAAGAAACCAAGCCCTCCTCCGCAGAACCCACACCTTCCTCACGCACCTCACCACCCAAGCCCCGCTAACGCCCACCCTCCTCTCCAATTTCGCTGAGGACATCAAGATCCACGAGCACGGGCTCCCCTCCCTCGCCCCCTTCCTGGGAAGAGACTACGTCGGCCTCGACGCCGCGCGACAGTACTTCGAGTGCCTGGGCGCCCACCTCCGGTACGAGGGGATGCGGTTCGAGGATGAGGCGGAGTGGGTGGTGGATGGTGCGCGGGGGGTGGTGGTGGTGCGCGGGTGGGCGCGGTTTGTGGCGAAGCGGACGGGGCAGGGGTGGGGGGAGGGGTTTGTTTATCGGTTGCGGTTGGGGGGGGATTCTGGAGGTGAAGGCGATGGGGATGGGGAGGTGAAGGTGAAGGAGTATTTTGTCTGGGCGGATAGCGGGGCGGCGTATTTGGCTTTAAGGGGGGAGTTGACTGCTTGATTCTTGATGGGTTCTTACAAGGGTTTGGGGTTGAGAGGTTGGGTTGGGTTGGGTTGGGGAGGAGGAGGGATTGTTCCTATGGTCGAGGGGCCAAGGGGTTGTGTGTGTGTGTGATTTCAAGATTTGGGGTCTGGAGGTTCGATGCAGATTATCAAAGGGCGAGTTTATGGATTGGGTGCGGAATTAAGCACGGCTACTACCTATCAGTCTTTGCCAGCGATGTCCCAATCAATCCAGGCGATGTTGCCCGCCTCACCCTCCGGTGTCAAGAACACCTTCTCCAGCGAATCGTACCGCTTGTACTCCTGTGCATTCAACAGGACGGCCACCCCGCCCTCCTTCCGTCCGGTGGCATTGAAGCCCGGTCCGTAGGCGCGGTACTCGGCCATCAGCGTCTGGTTGGCCGCCCACCGGTCCTCCCAGTTGATGTAGCCAGACGGCTCGATGCTGCCGTCCTCGTAGCTGTTCACGAAGATGGACCGGTGCAGCGAGTTCCAGGGCCGTCCGAGCGCACATTTGCCCTTGATCTCGGACACCAGGGACGAGTTGGCTGCGTTGACCGTCGAGTCAACGATGTACACGCCGTAGTTGTTCTCAAACGTCGTGTTGGTGCCCTTCCAGGCCGTGATGCCGCCGCCGCATGATCTCAGGAGAATGGAGGACGATTGGATCCAGGCGGTTCCAAAGCCATACAGGAAATCGGTTTGGCCGGCAATGATGGACTTGTGGAAGTAGGCATTGCCGAGTTTGCCAATGTAGACCTGACAGGCCGCGTTAGTGGGTGATCTAAATGTGAAGATGAGGGTATGAACGTACGGTGTCCTGGTAGGAGTAGAATCCAGAGTAGTAGAACCCTCCGTTGGCACGGCTGAAACTGATCGCATGGGCGGGCCCATCGCTGTACTCTGCCCACAGGTTGCGGAAGTCGATGTTGTACACTCGGAAGTCGGTGTTGCCAAACGGTGTGTCCGCGGGAACAGCAAACCCTGTGGTACCCGACCCAGTCAGACTGGCGTCCAAGGTAGGCGAGACGATCAACACGCTGGAGTAGACGTTGTCCACCGACTGGCCGGTGTTGTCCTGGTTGGCAGCAGCCCAGGTGATGGTGACGCGGTTGCGAGTGGGATCGGTGAGAGCGCTGCGATCGGGTTGCTGGCCGAGCAAAGTGACAGGGCCCGGGCGCGTCAGGTTGAGTTGCTCATGGTAGGTTCCTGCAAGCACCAGAATTGTGTGGGAGGAGTTGTCGTTGGGGAGGGAGGCAAACGCAGCCTGGATAGACTTGAATTGAGCGGCGGGGTGCGACGAGTTGGACACGATGATCGTGCCCTCAGGGCATTTCAGACTCGTCTGGCATGTCTCCCGGGTAGCTGTCGAGAGACGCGGCTGGAGAGCAGCCGAGTGCACAAGCAGAACGTGCAAAAGAAGCAGAAGACCACGATAGAGAAGCATCGTGACTGTGGGTGCTATCCCTGGATTCGCTGACCCCGGCAGTCCTCTTCACCGCACCTTATATGCGGAGGCGCAAATCCGGGGTTATAGAAGAACGGGCGCTGTCAAGCTTCGGCGCCGGCTCTACCCCAGAGCACGGCTGGGGAAACCGGAGAAATCAGTCTGGGGACGGAGAATTGGATTCCGCCTGTGAGGATGACCTGGCGATGGCGGCAGGCGAGTCGAGCATTGCGGTTGGTGGATGAGGTAGTTGGCCGAGTAGCGTGCAGAACAACAAGATTAAGTCAAGTGAAAATGAGCTCATGCGTGCACCAAGTCAATATCGGACATCGGCCTTTGCGGGAGAATCCTTAAGAGTGAGGGGAAACACGGCCTATACATTGCGGGGTTATCACCTCATCTGGCAATGGTCAATTGCCCAGGAGCAGTCGCAATCAAGTTGATACATCGTGGAGAATTGCCCCTTTCAGTTCATGACAAGAACGGGGGATTTGTGGCGGTCGTCTCATTGCTATGCTTCTGAGTCTCGAAGACCTTCACTTGTGAGTAGCTCTCGGTCGACAGCTCACGCTCACCAGAAATGCATCAACCCATAGTCAATGTCTATTATACCAGGTTCTCATGATAGACTGCGAATGCAGTCGCAGTCACACTCAATAAGACCCACAATGGCGGTGGAAAGTGGCCACTGTTTTTGAGTGCGCACCTGACAGGCGTTGTACCACAGGAGGACACCCAATACCGTATATATCGAGCAGGTATATTTCTGACATTGGTTTGTGAGCCTACCTCAAGTCAAAATGCAAAAAGAATCGTGCTATGGAGGTAAGGCCTATCCAAGCTGGAAGCAGAAATTGTGTGTGGTGTGGTAAAGTTAAGTAAAGGGGATTTGATGAAGTCAAAACAATCAATTTCAGCCTAAGGCACCCAGAACGTCAGGTGGTGGTAATGTGACTGCCAGCCAGAATGACTACCAGCCAAAAGCCTCACAATCTCTCGTCAGCGCAATTGCATTGTTTCAAGACACTTCAGATCTCTACCAATCCCCTCATTTGAACACAAGTGCAGGCTCGATCCGGACGAAGCGACGATCTTGAAACAGCACGTTAAGATGGTGCACCCAAACCTCGTAGAAGTCGACTCCCTCGAGGCTGTCCTCCTGGTCGACAATGACCTCGACCCGATGTCGACCATTGCACCCGATACAGTCCAGGTCTCAGGCCTTATGCGTACGCTAGCCACGCAATCCCCGCACGAGATCTCGGATCGCGGGAATGCACACAAGGAGCTCCAGATGGAAGATATTTGTTGTGCTGCGCATGGTCTGTCCATTCTTGTGGTATGCCTGACTTCTCTTTCATAGTAGCCTAAACTCACAGAGAATGGACGATGACGGACCGCGCAACAGAAAGCTACTAAGAACGGCAAAAGCCATACCCTGCTGTTTGACGCGGGACCCGAAGGTAACGTGTGGGAGCGCAACGTCAAGAGACTACGACAAGACTTGTCTTCCGTGGAGTTGGTCCAGTTATCGCACTGGCATCGGGATCACTCAGGTGTTTAGATCTCTCCGATGGTCTAGCGCAGAGTTGCTGACGGTATCAGGGGGCCTGACTCGAGCTATCCAGATGATCACAGAGGCTCGACAAGCACATGGTACTGCAGGCGAATTGATAGTCGACCTGCATCCAGATCGTCCAGATTACCGAGGCATGACCATAGGGGACGACATCATCTCCCTTCAGGCTGATCCGACGTTTGAGGAACTGCAAGCAGCGGGCGGGGCCATCGACAAGCGGGCTGAAGGACATACAGTCCTCGATGATTACTTCTTCATCTCAGGGGAGATACCCCGGCGGACCTCCTACGAGACGGGCTTGAGAGGCGGTATGCGGTTCAGTGCTGAGGAGAACGACTGGTTCTCCGATGAGGTCATCGCTGACGAACGGTTCTTGATGTGTAACCTAAAGGGTGAGTGTCCTTTTCTCATGCTTGGGAACTCGTATGCTCACTGAACCAGGGAGAGGAATCGTCATTTTCACCGCGTGCAGCCACGCGGGGGTCGTCAATTGCGCACGACATGCGGTGGAAACCCTCGGCGGCTCCGTGCCTCTCCATGCGGTTATCGGGGGTTTCCATCTCGCAACTAGCGAGGCAACACAGACAGAGAGTACCGTCAAGGATCTGAAGAGACTCGATCCAGCCGTTGTGCTGCCTGGACATTGCTCGGGATGGAGGGCCAAATTTGCGATTGAGAGACATATGCCTGGCACGCTGGTTCCGTGTTCTGTAGGGATGAGAATCACGTTCTGATATATACCTACAAGACCTCAGTCTCATGCATGACCTGTTCGCATTTTCGTCCTTAGGTTGAGGACAATGCCATAGCTGTGATATGTGAATCCACACCAAGACGCAGACTCAGGTCAAGCTGTCGATATATACCATTTCACTAGGTCAAGCCGGCGCTGCTGTATACCAGTACCTAGCCAGTGCAGATGCGAAACACGAAGCAAAGGAATTGGTCTATTCTCGCTGATGAGCTGAAAGATTCGGAATGAGCTAGACAGACAGACTCGCCCATCTTGTTCTTCTCAATGATTATCCAGGTACGGCCAGCCATTGGAATTAGAACGCGTGTTGCCGTCAACGGCCGTGTATATATACAAAATCCATCGAAGCACATGCATCTGCCAAACATCCCACACAAAACTCATATAAAATGACCCATGCCGCTTGTTTTACACCCCTAGCCATGCTCAGCTAGATATACTAAACAAAACTACATACTTCAACCCGCATAATTCTCCATCGCGCCTACACACCTACTCCCCTAACTATACCACAGACCACCAACACACCTACGGATACCATCAGTCCCCAGTACCATCCAAGTCAAAGTAGACTTCACTACCCAAAAAGCCCAATATACCACACAGATCCCCACTGACAACCAGCCAAGCTCCGCAACCACACCCTCCATTCCAATCTATAACTAAGACATGGCACTCGCATTCAACATTCCAGATAACATCATCCACGCCCCACAACAACAAGGCAAGCATTTGACACAGCCCGGATTCTAGGCCCAGACGTCAACGCGACCTGGATTTCTCTTTCTTTGGCTATAGGTAACTCGGGAACTGCGCCTCGAGCCTACATACCAAGCCATAGCGTCCGTCGTCTGGCATTTTTGATGTCGATTGCCTCCGCAGCAAGCCACAATGAGGATAGTCAGAGCTGTGTGTACATGGTGGATTGATATTTATGCCTCTTGCTTATGCATCTCCGCTCATAGCTTCAAAAGTCGCTTGACCACCCCAAAGAGAAAGGCAGGGCATATACCCCGAACCATGATAACGATAATCCCACTTTAAAACTATCACACCTACAGCACTTACTAAACCAACTAACCAACCCCCCCTTCCTTTCCCTTCTTTCCACAAACCATACATAACAAAATCAACCCCTCGATCAGGAATTCCTTCCATAATGTTGCTCAAAGTCCTCCCCCGCAGTGTATACATCTAAGACTACCGTACCGTACCTTGTACAATTCAGCACCTACACAAAAAAACAACCCCACCAACCGTTTCGGGCACAGTCCTACATTTCAGCATTGAGTTCGAAAGAGCAGCACCCCCCCCCCCCCACACCTCGCTCTCCACTTCCATCCCACTTCACAAACTAAGGATGTCCTTTTTCTTCTGATGAGAGAAAAAATCGCCTACATACCGGATGCATAAGCTTCCGTGTGAGTGTGCTAGGGTTGTTTTGGGTTTGCTTGGGATATACTCTATTTGGAGGTTGCTTGTCTTGGGCGGGGTCGGTGGTGGTGGCTTGGTTGAGTATACTATGCTATACTATACTATACGCTAGGTAAGCATACGTACGTTTCTGTGTTGATGTTGGCGAATGATGGATGCATCAGGGGATGGGTGGCTTTGTGGGTGATTCGTTGGCGCGGGGGGGCGGGGGGGTTGAATGTCGGTGTATCATGATTATGCTTGGATTTGCTCATGCATGACGAATGTGTGTGTGTGTGTGTGTGTGTGTGTGTGTGTGTGTTGTGGTCTAATAGGTCGGGGAAATCTACGGGGACAAGGGGCTGATTGTTGTTGTTGAATTGTGTTTTCCTCTGGGAGATGTGGTCTACAATGGCCATCGTCAATGGTCAATGGTTACTTCAGATCATGAGAGGTGTTCTAAGTGGATGAATCTGGACCCAACAATCTCTTTAACTCGTTGTTCCTTTGTGGGACTGCTATACGGTACTCGAAGTCGGCAAAGTCTAATCATATAACTTTAACCTCCTGCATGAAACAAACCATAGAATGATCGACCGCCCGCCGTGGGAATCTCGGGAGGATCTCATGGCTTCAGTGCAGTTACTCCGTTAGAATTTTGGGAAATGGGTTACACAAGGCCCCAAATCTGCCAGATTGACAGCCAGGAGGATGGCGCAGCAGCCAGCATCTCTCATACCCCCTTCGCTGCGCCAAGACAATAATCGAGGGAGGAATGCACGGCAGGTCTTGGCGGTGATCGTGCGGACGAAAAAGGGGGTTGGATGGGGGAAACAGAGGAGGACGGGGGGAGGAGTGGGTATGATGCTCCTCTTCTCCATGGGGTCTGTCTTTGGGTGGTGTTATCGATACTGCAACAGTAGTATGTGTGTGTGTGTGTGCTGGTAACTCTGTCTGCTGATAGTCCAGTTAGTGGTGCCAAGAAAGTGTATAGAACGTCCTGACGATAACGACCACTGCGAATGACAAATTCTAGAGTCTTCGCCCTGCTCACCCCTTGTTTCTTATCAGCATGACATGCACAGTCAGAGACTGGGAAAAACGGACAAGTGTTATATGCCAAGCTGTAACAAGCTGTAAGTCCTCCTCATCTTCATCTTCATCGTCGTCGTCGTCGGCAGCATCGTCTCTGTCAAAGTGGGATTGACTTCGGAACCGCAGAATTGGTAAGTTGAGCGACGAGAGATTCCCCTTTCGATTGACACTTGATCAATTCATCCCAAGATTCAGTCGGTCCCTAAATTTAGTGTCAGGGTCCATGCAATTGGATCGGGGTTTTCGACCTATCCGAACACAATTCCATTCAAACCTGTGTTGATTTCAAGGTTCAGGACAGCGCCGTAGGAAGGGATGAGAATCCCCGCCAAGAGAAGCCTTGCTGGTTCCCCTCTGCACATCGCCATGCTTGGCAGCCACTGACCGACGTAACTATTGGCTTGGGAAAAGAATAGAAACGACTGGCCGGAGGTGATAGTCGTGTGATTCCGGAGTCGAAGGGAGGGAGGGATGAGGGGGCGCTTGTACGACCTCGAGGTGAAATCGATTTGATCCGGATGAGGGAAGCAGAGGGAAAAAGAAAGCGAGGGAAAGGTAAGATTCACAAAGATGAGTGAGTGTCCTCAAGCCAGGATCAGATAGACAGCTGCAACTCATGCGATGCCATGCTGCCTTAATCGGCCTTGGCGAATGACGCAGTACCCCTGATGTGCGGGCGATCCATCTCATTTGTTGATATCATACTATACTATCTACATGGATAGTATGATTAGGCATTCACTAAGTACCGTAGCCCAGGTACGGTACCAACCGTATGATGGTGGTGACCCGAGTGCTCCGTAGTAGTACAACCTCCATCAGTCGGTCGATATACTTACTCCAGTCCAATGTCTCACTAAGCGAGGTAAACAAACCACCTAGAGCGGATCATCGACGAAAGCAGACTAAGAAGACGAGAACAGCCTCTAGCAGCCTCATCTGCCCAGACCGATTGACATCATACGCTCATAGCGATCGACCCGCGACTGCCCCAGGAATGGACGAGGCTCCCCCCTTTTTTTCCCGTGTGATGGAGAAGAAGCGTTCCCGTATACTTCGCTCGAGACGACGAACCTACCTCTTGGATCATGCAACATCTAAGGGGAAAGGAGAAGGGCAGACGGAGCCACCATCACCGCCCGATGCGGCGATATGCACGGGGGTAGAATATAGCCGGATATGATACCGCAGGGATACGGACGCTGAAACCGAGTGAAACGAGGGGAGACCTGTCTGATGCGGTTGACTGACTTGACTTTGCTTTGCTTACTTGCAGTTTGCAGGAAACCCCGATTCGATCAGAAAATCTTGCTGCAGCCTGCACCTGATTCTTGTCCCTGTTTCTCCTCGGTGGTATTCGACCGGGTCGTGTCTGTGTCTGGCTGAGACTTTGCCTCCGTGCAGATTAGGATTTTGCGGGGAGGAGAGGGAAACAGTTCCCATCCATGCAGAAGATCCCTTGGCATCGGTGTCTTCCGGGTTGACCAGGAGTATACGGAGTAGTACATGTGCTGGTCGTTACTTTGTATAGGCGCTGATAGAGATGATCGATTCCAAGAATTCTTGACTATACGGAAGTCGCCATGCTGCTAACGGTGTGTTTCCGTATAGACCTAAATCTGAAGACCGAGACTTCTTCCCTACCCTTGATCCCGAGTGATATGCGGAGTCAGTAAAATCGCGCACCCTCCTTCAGCCTTACAACTAATAGTAGGCATGGATGACATGAAGCCCGACGCTGCAACCGCCGTGCTAGTTCGGGAAAATTCTTCGAAACCAAACACAAACACAACCGAACCTTCGAAGCAGAGTTTAGTGTCGGCGAACCATGGCTCGTGGACGGCGAAAAGCACGTCGTGTGTGTGGTTAACCATGGATTATCATCATGCAGGAGGAAAGAGAGGTGGAGGGGGCGAAAGAGCAAATCTCATTGAACGGGATCTGAAAGTATCCAGTTTTCCTTACCTTACCTGACTGACTGACTGACTGACTGACGGACGGACGGACGGACTCTGAACGGGAGACGGTGCCGAATCCCGTGAGGGTCGGGTTGTCCGATGTTGCTGCGAGCCTGCGAGTCTGCGACCCTGAATTGTGCCGAGGGAAAAAAACGCCGAGCTGCCACACAGACTATCGAATGATGAGCGAATTTCCCTCCCACCGACGCAATCAATCAATAATAATAACGATACTACTAATCATTCCAATGCATTGTCAACCGTGAACCCCCAGTCGGCTCCCGCTTTGGGAACAACCACACGCGATAAGCCAAGCCGTCTACGTATGTACTGTACATACTCCGTACCCTTCTGCCGATTTATCCATTTCCCGACCGGCTTCGACTGCAGAGAACCAGACACAAGGGACTAGAACAACACAACGATCGCATTGAGGAGAGAAGGCCAATTCGAGATCTCAGCCGGGAAGAAAAAAGTTGCTCCTTTGTGATAGAGCAAGTAGCCAGACTAGATCCGCTCGAGAAGTGTGGTTGTGATTCAGGCTTCATTCGCTGTCTTGCGCCTTTTTTTTCCGATGCGAGGCGCACAGCACCAACTCTGCTACCCTCCCCAAGATTGCAATCTCAGGCGAAATCTCCACAGACCAGAGGAGCCGTAGTCAGAACTGCCAGGCACGGCCCATAATTCCCCGAATTCGGCCTCGGACTAAGCCCGATCCAATCTCTTTGATTCCCCGCCCCGAGCGACTTAGGACGAAGGCATACGCACCCACGGAAAATTATTCTTGCCGTCGGTAGAGAGCATCTACCCTTATCAGACAAGTGTGTTGGTTGGTGCGTCTCGTCCATCTGCATGCTGCAGCCGACTATTGGCGTCCTAACTATCGTCCCGGTGG